CACAAAGAAATGTAATTTAAAAAGTAGTTTTACAAATAATATGTGATGCCTGCTATTTGCTAACTGAATGAGAATACAGTCATTCCGGCGAAATACTGTGGAATAAATCAGGGTTGTCAAAAATACACAACAGAAAAATGCTCCGGAATTCAGAGAAGTGTTAGCAGTATAATGTAATATAATATAGTATCAAAAGTGAAAGTACTCATAGAAGAATGCCTTTTGTCACTGTTAAATTATTGGTGCATTAACATGCAACTGGCACATTCAGCACATAAAATTTTACTTGCAATCCCCCAAACTGGACATACATCTCCATATATATAAAATGGTTGGAAAAGCCATTTTTGAAATTCAACTGAAGCTGCACTCTCCACCTCAGATGACCTCTTAAGGTGGATGTTGTGTTTTTGAAGCTTGTATCACCTGTTCAACTGAGCTGTGATTCGCTGCCAAAACACACAGCGGAACAAAACTGAAAACCTAAACGGTGATAGGGTTTCTACTGGGCAGCGTTCCCCGCCCGCAGGAGCTCCCACTTCATCATCCAGTACAAATAATCCAGCGTAAAAGGCCAAGGGTGTGTAAGAGAAACTATTAGTGATGACGGACGATGTGTGGTAGGCCTGCATCATGGTGCTGCTGTTGCTGCACTGCAAACAAACTTCCAGCTCTTCTAGTCTTTGAACTTTCTTTCTTCAAACACACTAGTAGGTTTAGAAGAAACTAATGACTTTTGATTCAATGAGAAATAAATTAAATCTAACCATAATCCAAGGGTTTTTTCATTTGTTTTCAAAAAAACTAAACTTTTATAAACATTCAAACCATAAAGCTCCGTTTGACACAATAGCAACACTGAATTTTTGATCAGGTCAGACCCTAAATAGGTGTGTGAATGCAGAATTATAACAACATAGTTTCCGTCATTTCTGTTCACTATAAACAAAAAAACACAGCACTACAATTTTGCACTAGTTCACCCTCAGTCAGAGAAGGCAGTGGGGGTGTGGTAAATAATAGATTTTTAGATGCATCGCAATGCGGACAATTATGAATCGATTCACAAACGTCACAAATCGATGATCTAGAGGTTAATTGATAACGGAATGTTGACAGAATGAAAAAGGTGTGCAGTGCAGTGCACACAACGAGATGTGTGGATCTACCTGTTCGGCACAGACAGACAGCTGTTGATTGAGTGACTGCTGCTACTAAACTTTACACACGATCAACTGAATGTTAATGATTTTAACCCACACATTGGTGCTGCACTGCAGCGCTTAGCTAGCTAGCGTCCTCTCCTCGTTTTTCAGCTATGTGACAGGTGACGGTGAAAGTAGCGGAGCAGAGGAAAAGATGAGCGCTACGCTTCAGTCTGGCAGTAAATGTACAGTGCAGGTCACAGCGTGTCCGTTAATTAAAGTCTATCTGTTGTTTTCCAACTGCTGGATAAGTTAAAGTGGTCAGCGCTACCGTTAGCTAACATTTCCTCTTCAGATTGCGGTTTGGAAGCTGAGCAGGACGCTTTTCTGCTGCTAGTTCAATTTCATTAGTTGTCATTCATCCACATATCGAGTGCACAATGAACCCAGTGCAGTTTCTCAAGGCCCATGGTGCTCAATACAAGATTACAATAATCAACTTATAAGACAAGACACAAACATGTAACTACACTAAACAAGACAAAAAACAGGAACAGATATATTAAGGTGGAGTGAACGTGGTTTGGCTGTAGCATTGTAAAGTGTGTAGTTCAACACGTATCGGACTTATACTATTTATACTAATATGTTATAATATGTTATACTAATAACAGCAGCATCAGAAATAAAAATAGCAGCAGCAGAGGTCAGTAATAATGCTGTAATAAAGTAATGTTAGCTACATTTATATGAAGTAACATTAAATATCTGCATTTCATTACTACCTACTTGTTTGGATTGTTGCTAAATACTTTGCTTTAAAAGTACCAAGTAGTCACACAGTGAGAAAAATACTTCTTCATCCAATTTGTTTTACAATCTCATCGTAGCACTCATAATTGTAATGAGGTGCCTAGAAATTCCCACCCTTGAGGTGATGCATCGAGGAATCGAATGGTGTGAAGATGTGCACCACTAGAAGGCAGGGTCTAAAGCTAAGCTAAATGCTTTATTACATTCTGTAACAATCAAGTACAACTCTAGAAATCATTAAAGTTAACACTTTACTATGAAAAGGTTGTCAACCAGAGCTTTAAAAGAGATATCTGTTCTATAAAACCCTTCCCTCTTGGGTCTGCAAGAACAAACTGTCAACACAGTTTGACATTATTTTGTGAAATGAGTGCAGAAAATGGGAAGACTGCCATTAGCAATGAGATGATTTAGTGCAGTAGGCATGAACTGGACACAAACGGGACCTTTTCACACATTTGTCACATGATAAGGTTTGAAGATAAAGGATAAACAGCTTGATGCTCAGGTTCTACAAAAAAAAAAGGAAATTCTCTCTGAATTTCTCTCTGAATAGAAACTGGATAATCTTCAGAGCAGGTAAAATACAGCTCCTTAGAAATATACTACATCAAAATTTCAATGTTATGCAAATATTATTGGTGTACAGCAGTAACACAAGATGTGAAAAATGTCAAGAAAGTTTGATCAGGTCATAATATTCTCACTATGGCTCGCTAATTTTACAAGAACCTTTCAAATATTGTAAGAATATGATGTTCAAAGGGTCAGTATAAAGTTATTTGGGATTTGAAAATTTAATATACAGGCCCTCGCCTGATGTCAGCTGGGATTGGCTCCAGCCCCCCGAGACCCTGTACGCAGGATAAGCGGTTGACGATGGATGGATGGATGTACTTTTACCACCACTACATTTATCTGACAGGGATAACAGGTTCATAGATAAAGATTATAAAATCAACATGAAATAAATTAATGCTGTTGTCAAGTAACCACCAAACCTCCAACCCCGTGTAGAAAGCTGATGTGTAAATTTCTAACTTTTCTTTGATCTTTGTTTTTATCCCATGAAACACTGCAGTTTTACCCTTTTCAGGCCTTGAAATATTAGTACAAGAAAAAAAAAATCTGAAAATCACTTTCTTTTAACTGCTTACAACTTAAACACATGTAACATATGACTCTGTATCCCACAAAATGAAAGGTGCATCCTTGAGGTCTAAAAAATGTACTGAGTGTGTTTCCTCACTCATAAAGCAAAAATACAGCTTTACTGTTTCGGTTCAACGCTCTCATAGTGTCATCTTCAGCCACAGCAGGCAGCTGTTTCATTGTTACACTGGGTTCTCTTGTAGATTTCAGAACCTGACTGGTATTATCTAGAAAAGCAGGATATTACAGCTAAATCAAGATTATATTTTTATTATGTTTAACAAAAACTAAAAAAGTTTAGTTGACAGTAAATGAAAAAAAGAAACAAATGCCATGAAATGTTAAGACTGTACAATAAACTAAAAGACTGTAGGGTTGCTGCAGGATTAGTATAAGAAATCAAACCATTTACATCAAAAACAGCACAAGTCTAAAGGGAGACTGAGCGCTGCAGCTCAATGCTCTCTGTTGTTTTGGTGCTCATCTCCTCAGCTGAGTCTGTCCTGTGGCTGCCATACTCTCTGTATGCTGGTTATGTAATTTGAAGGAGAGAGGAGGAGGAGGGTCTGGACACACACACACACACACACACACACACACACACACACACACACCTCCCTCTCAGCACCAGTGTCTTCCTGCTCTACCTCCTCCTCACAACATCTTCAACAGCACATGTCTGCATCAGTCACCCTGCTGGCTCCGAATCTCAAATCAGTGGGGGAATATTAGATATCAGCTATTTATAGGCTCTGTGTATAACGTATCCAGTCTACACACGCACACACATTTATGTTTCGGATCAATGGCTGCCTCTGTCAGGAGCACAGAGCTGGGAATTGGAGAATGTATGTATGTGCTCTTTTTTCATTGCTTTGCATTGATGTTATCACTCATGGTTGCTGCCAGGTCTTGTTTACAAGTGAGTGTACACGGAGCCAGCACAGCATATTTTAATTTGATTTAATATTTTTTATTAGCCTATATATTAGCAGTTACTTTCTTGAGTTGTTTTGAGTTAACTGATATGTTTTATTGTTTAACATTGGTATTTCAACAAGTGTTCTGGTACACCACATCTATAGTTTATTTATACAAGTCATTATGTTGGGTATGTTTTATTTTGTCCTTTATTTTTTTTACTTGTATTATTTTATTTACTTACTTCATTACATTTTTACACTGATTAGAAATTGATGATGATTGATGATTTTTTCTATTTAAATTTTTTTTTATAGATATATATGTTTCACTTGTAGTTATATTGTTTATATTTTCTTTTTTCTGTATTTTATTTATGCATTCCTATTATTTCAAATTTGAAATGTTTTTAAATAAGACTATTTCTTTTATGTATATAATTTTCCATTGTTTTCTGTTAGTATGGAATTTCTATTATCTATTTTACGTATTTTACATATTGCATTATTTAACAACACTAAAAATCGTGTATAATATTATAATGTTTTTAATATATTTTTAGTTTTATTATTGTTACAAATAGCCCTAATTAACATATGTCGTCTTAATAAAATAATGCCTAATTTTCCAGTATCCTATTCCTCCTGTTTACCGACTGGCAGCGTCTGGTCGGTGCGCAGCGCTGCTCTCGTGTTTCTACAATTTTATGAACTTGAATATCTGCAGTGGATCTTCCTGCTGTATTACAGGATCTCCGTGTTTGTTTTTCCTCGGCTCAGGTGAAGCCGAAGCGAACCAGCCTGTCGGTTCCTGGCAGCGCCGCTGATACAATATTGACACAGATCAGAAACAGAAAGTCTCCTCCGGTCTGTCTGCAAAATGGCTCTGTCTATACAGGACCGGAGACGGAACGGATGCAGCTCCCGTCACGTTATCGTGAAGAAAATAATGACCCGTTAATGTACTCACCGAATCTCCTGTCAGCAGAAGTGGGGACGCAGCTCAGGGAAGCGACGAGGAGGAGGGGGAGGAGGTGGAGGAAGGAAAGAGGCAAAGGATCCATGTGTCTTCTGGGTTATTCTTTCAAGTGTTAAAAGGCCATTTCTTCCAGCGAGGTTTGGTTCGTGTTCCTTCCCGCTCAGAGTGGCTCCTCCGCGGTTGGAGGAGCAGTGGAGAGCCGGGGGATGGATGTCGGAGGAGAGGAGAGGAGGATGCAGGGCGTTTCTGCTGCTGCTGCTGCTGCTGCTGCTGGGGGCTCGAGCTCCCACAGAGTCAAGGCACGAGCACACACGGTACTTCCGGTGAGAGTTTTCAAAATAAAAGTAAAAATAGTAAAAGATACAAGCAGTAAATTAAGTTTGTTTATAGCAACAATCGCAAAGTGCTTCAGAAGTACATTCTAAAACCAAACTAACCAATTAGCACACAAAATAAAACATCAGTTAGGTTTAAAGAAACATATTTGTAGATTTCTTGTTTTTGTGTCCTATTGATTTTTCTGCCTTTTTTAGCTTGTGTCACCAAGGGATTATTAGAATAAAAAATAATAATTGACAAACACACTTAACACAACTTAAATAAAATACTTTTTAAGGATATGTGTACTTGTTTTTATATTCTGTTCAATTTGTGTGAATCAAACACGATTAGAAAATAGTTTTGTCCCACACCCATCCATTTATATTGAAGGGCAAGTCAGTCAGTATCCGGACATAATCTTGTTAAATCTGAATTGACGGATTCACGAAGGACTCTGATTCAGCACTGCCGCTGCTTTCAGGTGCTGTCGGAAATAATTCAGGTGGTGAGTTGGAGTCAGGTGAACGGAAGGAAGGTAGTTCTCATCTGATTATCTGAGAAGCAGAAAAATCTGCTCACCTGGAGGAAACGGTAATAATGAATCAGAGCCACTATCTGGGGAAAAAAAGAGTTTGGAATGAAATGCCCAAATGGAATTCAGATGTGTATCTATAATAACCTAAATATGTGTATTCATAAATAATTCTGAATATTTTAGAACACTATTTCAAACTATTGCTTTGTATTTCAAGAAGATTAAGGAAACTTACAGTTTAACTTAAAGGAAGAGTTCCTTTAAAGTTAATTGAGAAGATCAATGCAACTCTTGTGAATGTACAGTCAGTATGAAGACAGCAGTCAGCATCGGTGGAATACTCAGATCATTTACTTAGATAAAGGTAGCAATACCAAAGTGTAAAAATACTCTGTTACAAGTAACAGTCGTGCATTCTAAATTATGCTGAAATGATAAGGCTTCACTACGGGTGTCAAATTGTGCAATGGTGCATTTTCCTGAATAAATGTGTTTATCCATAAAGTAACACCAACAGGTGATAGAAAGGGGCCCACAGCAAATTTTTGCCCAAGGGACCCCTCACAGAGTTAATCTACCCATTTTTAAAAAACACTAAGTGAATTTTACCGGTTACACTCTAATTTAACTTGTGGCCATGTTATATTCTGCGGCAGGAATACTGTACAGAATGCTCAGGGACAGGGTAGAAACGGGTGAATAATGGGGTCCAGGAGCTCATTTCTGAGGCCATCAGTCAGCATGCAGCATATTCTAAAACTTTGTGTGTGTGTGTGTGTGTGTGTGTGTGTGTTGCCTCTTGACACCAATATCCAGAGGTAGTCAAAGTCAGTCAGAGTCTGATTTATCAAAATATTCCAGAAGGAGGAGCAACCTGCTCTTAGAGCGATTTTATCAGGCTGCAGGCAAACTGTGTGGCCCCTCAGCACAGATCTTGGAAAACAAAAGATATCTTACCATAATTATGCAGATCACACACATTCTTTATAGAGACCTCACCAGGGGAGTGTGATTCCAGACAACAAGTGCATTCGACAAATCGATGATTGGATGGGTAAAATGTCCTCCAGGTGTAGTCATAGACTTTCACATTAACTCTTACATACTGTTCATATTTTTCACAGTATATAAAAGTTCCTTCATAGTAAATGTCTATACCAAATTTTAAACTACAGATCTATTTAGAAATGTCTAAATTGCCTATGTCATATTAATAAATGTATGATGAATCCCTAATAAAAGTTTCAGAGAGCAGGGAGAGTGTATGTTTTAAAACACTTGTTTGTAGAGAAAAAGATCTACTATCTCACAGTATCCTGTCCTGTTTTACATAAGACACATCAGTCACTGAAATGCTAACGTTTAGATCAGGTACATTAATATAGATAGATAGATAGATAGATAGAGGCTCCTTTAAAAACATACATTTAAGGACATACTTCTAATGCACAATTAAAACCTACATAACAACAGCAGCTGTACAATGTCTATTTTTTGTTGTTCAGAGTGGTTATAGCAGACGGTATGAAAGAATTCCTCTAAATGTTTTTCCTGGCAAGTGGAACTTTATATCGTCTGCCTGATGGCAGTAACTGGAAAGAGCGATGGAGAGGGTGAGAGGGGTCCCCTGTGATCAGGGTGGCCTTCCTGATCACAGAACGGTTGTGCAGTTCAAATAAGGGGGTTTGTGGTGAGCCAATTATCTTGCTGCAGTGGTTTATTATGTGGGAGAGTTTGGTTTTAATTATATTGTATATGTCATGAACCCACCACCCTCCCAACCCAAATTGATTCAAATTAGTTACTTTGTACATTATTTGATTACATGGCAGGTGCTGTGTGCTTGCAGGTGCCGATCTCCTGTCTGTATCAAGGCACCCTCTGACCTCTGGATGACTTCTGTTCCATTTGTGCACCATACATGATCAATCCTACACTGCTTTGGGATTTCCCCAGGACCCTTCTGTCACCACTGTCCCATAAAAAATACACACAAACATGGTCTGTACCGTTTCAAGATTCCATAAACCCCCCAATTTTCCTTTGACCCACACTGGTAGATCTAAAATCCACCGGTCAAATTTGACCCAAAAAAGCCTCAGTGTACAAAGAGTTTTATACAAAAGTATAAAATATTTTCATTTTTGTGCATTTTGGGTCACTGTAGGAAGAGTCATCATATTTCATGCTAAAAGAATGAAGTTTAGGGATTTTTACTGCTGTCAAATGTCAAAATTGGCTGTTAAAGCTGTTTATCCATCAGCCTCATGTGACAATGCCAACAACGACCATTCACATTTGACCTCAGGGGACTCCAACGACCCTAACGACTGTCGTCACAACAGCCACGAGCATCAATGATCCACCGCCTTGATAACGACCCCAAAGAAGTCAAATAGCTGAGGCTCCCTGCCACTCAGTCAGAACTGAAGAAGTCTCTTGGATGAGAATCAAAATGTCTTCAAGTATCTTCCACCAAGTCCAGCTGCAGTTCATTTTAACCCACCTTTGATAACTCTCACCTTACCAAATTCAACCTTCAGAATATATCAAGAATTTAAGGATTTATGTCTCAGCAGGATTTAGAAAAACTTTTCCATGCCTTCATCTTCAGTCGACTCAACTACTCTGTGTCTTTACATGTCAGACAGCTGCAGCTGATTCAGTATGGAGTCAGATCAGTCTCAATATTAATTCACACAGAAGGATTCACAAATATAAATTTGGAATTTATATATAAATGACACACACACAAGAAATAAATATAATCTCTACCTGATTTTGTGGTTTCAGTCTCTGAAGTCCAGTTGGACCTCTTGTCCTGTGGTGTGTTCAGGGTCAGATGAAGGTGTTTTGTTACAGGAGATCAAAAAATGCACTGAGCTGCTGCAGAGTTACTGTAGTGATATACTGAAAAATTTAGTTTTTAAATCCACCTCAGCCCTAAAGAGAAAACCTTTCCAAAAGTCCAAAGACGTGTTGTTCTGAATAATAATAATAATAATAATAATGCTGTATCCTCTTTTTATTATCAGAGTTGCAGGTATCAGTAGCAAGTAGCAAGAGTTCAGTTTCATACTTTTAAAGACCAAATATAAAGAAATTAGACATTACTTCTATAAAAAAAGACATTACTCCTGTCAGAATTATGTAGGATATGAAGGATTTTTTTTAAAAGCGAGGAGAACAGAGATGATCCAGTTTAAGCCCATCCCTCCCACCCTGTGTCTCTTCATTCAGCTGCTACTTGCAAGAAACAATCATTTGTGAAACATGGCCACCATTCGCAAACTGTGTGTAAGCATTGCTCGCAAATTGCTTTTGTGAAAGAGGCCGCAGGTCTCCCAAAGGGGTCACAAGATAAATCTGAGGAGTCCCGAGATGATTCATTGAGTAGGGAAGCAGAAGAAACATATTTATGTGACAATTTATGTGACCTAGTCTTTGCTTCTTCAAGGTATAAGGTAGATTTCTTTGTCATTTAGTGGGAATTACTGCATAAGTTTACATCTTCAGGCTCCTAAAACCAACGCTAGTAGACATAAGTAACCTGTGATGAGCGCTCCTAAGAAGACAAGCTTCTTTTAAGGGATCACAAGATGAGAACCACTGATTTAACCCCTGACGTGCTGTGTGCAGGCTGGAGGGCTCATGCTTTACACCCTTCATGAAAAACCAGGCTACTGATCTGCTCCTGAAACTGATAACGTTCCTGTTTGTGAACATTTAGCTGCTTTACCTTTAGGTAGAAACACTATGAGCTTGATGGAAGGTTTAAGCTGATGGGATTTTAAACATTTAAAGCTGGTCATGGCACTTAAATTGTGATATAGTGCCCTCCAGTGGTGAGTGAATGCATCATGCTATTGTAGATAGACCATTAGAGGGCATCCCTGTTATTTGGCAGTGCCAGATTGCATGGAAACGGTGGATTCAGAACTCTATGTGAAATGTGTGCTTTGCCATTTTTTCTCTCTTCTGCTGCAGGCATAATAATTCCCTATAAATATATCCCTTTTTGCTGCTTTAAGAAACCGAATCAGGTCATATTGCAGCAGAGCTACACATCTAACATGGCAGAGATTACTATTAAAACAATCATCTGAAGCAACCGTGCTGTACAGCTTCATGCTGCTATAGCCAGCTAAAGCTCTTTATTTGTTTTAAAAGACATGTAAGGAGACATTCTGAAACGTGGGAAACTGTTGTAGCATTTTGTCGTTTTTTTTAATACATGTAAATATCTCTGGGTCGTGGGAAATTTAAGGCACAAGATAAAAAATAAAGGAGACGGAGAAGACAAGCCGCCTTTCAGATTACAAAGTCCATCCCAGAGGCACAGCTCTCAAATCCAATGACTCGCAGACAAAACCTTGTGATTCTTAAAAAATAAAACCCATAATAAAACAAGACAAAGAGGGTGACAGCTGGGAAACACAAATAAAATAACATTACAATGCATAATGGCACAGCTTCCGTACATACATGTAAAATATTTTCTCGAAGCATGATGTGAACACAGCAAGGCCAAAGTCTATATTTGTGTTTTGACAGTCAAAGGTCACTCTAGCCTCCTCTGTATCAACACAAAATTGCTGCTCTTTGGGGCCCCGTAGATAACATTTAATGTGTTTGTAGATTTATGTATTCTGTGTATTCATTAATGATATCAATCCCTTCTGAACGAGTGCTGCAAAGACAAAGCGATGTTTATGTGTGTGAAAAAGAAATGTATGTATTTAATGTGTAACTCAATAACAAATAAAACGCATGTCGTACATTACTCTTAAGACTAATGTTGATTCATAAACAAGAACGACTGTAGCTGACTTTATCATATCTCACTGAAACAAACACCCTCCTATGAGCCTCTCGACAGAATGTCCAATTTCTTAGTTCATAGCACGAAAATGTCCCAATTTTTAGAAAATTGTGAATAAAGAATCTTTCAAATTGTTCAGAACTTTATGTTTGTAGAAATCCCTGTGAAATCACTGCAGTCTTAGTGATGCTTCCAGCCCATTTACTTCCGTGTTTGTGCAGCTGTTTAAACTGTTCATTCTCATATAAAAGTGTTAAATACTGGCTGTCCAAATAAAGGCCGGATAAAAATGAACAAAAACTTTAAAACATTGAAGAGGATGGAATTACACGTAGTTTACTACAACTCGTGTTGATTTCAGCTTATTAATGTACATTTCCACAGCACTGTGTGGAATCCACACAGTTCACTGTGCTGCTCTCACTTTCCTTTATCACAAATACTGTCCACTGCAGAGGTTTCACATTAAAAGCTTACTGATTAGGGAAAGCTGGATCACTTTTAATGTGAAATTTTGGCATTTAAAAGATGAGTAGTTGTTTATTTTTATGATAGTACTGATCGAGAAGGAAAAAAAGCAAAGTGGAACGACTTGAATAAATTCATGAATAAAAACAGAATTTCTGTCAGACAGGAGAAATTCAGAGAATCACAGTGGTGAGTATGACTAAGGTTTTGCACGAATTAAACAAACAAGATATAATGTGTAAATTAGTCAGCTTTAGAGGTGCCGGTAGGCAGATTTTATCTTCAGGTAGAGCCAGGCTAGCTGTTTCGCCCTTTTTCAAATCTTTATGCTAAGCTAAGCTAACCATCCAGGCTGTAGCTGACAGACACGAGAGTGGTATCTTCTCATGTAACTCCCTGCAAGAAAGCAAAATGTCAAACCATTCCTTTTAAATTGTTATATATTATATCACTATAATTTTACAATTTTTTATTTATAATTGTTTTAAATTTAAGATAAAAATGACCCGCTTAAACAGACAGTTTTTTTTTTTTTTACATTAATTTAGACAATGTTTAAATTGCAACTAAGTGTAAGGATTATAAATAAAAAAAATGTGCAAATATTCAGTTTGAAAAACAAACAACTTTGGCCTTATTCCAGTGTAACAACAAATGTGTGAACAGATGGGAGGGGAAAACTAAACAAATTGGCATTTGCATTATATATATAACACAATATTTGAGTACTTTTAGTTAATTTCAATGGCCAATACACACATTTTTACAGTGGAATAAAGCCAAGATAGAGCTGCGTTACCAAAACCCACGAGGGTGACATTAAATACGTGTCATCTCTTTGGTGGCGCCTTTTCCCCCGGCGACCGTGCACTTGATCTTCTTCAGAAACTTTGTCCAGAATGTTTTTCATTAAAAAAGATCAAATAAAATAAAATTACAAAACATTATTTGGCAAAGTAAGCAAATACAATGTCTGCTTTGTCCAGCATCATTATCATCATTATTTACAAACTTGTACATCGCCATTCTTAACCGAAACTTGAGGCAGGAAACTGCTGCAACAGCAATAAAATAAAAAATAAAACAGATTGTTTTCTTCTACAGCTGTTATGGTTTCTCCTATAAATATGGAATATAGACTTCCGCAGCAGTACATTATGTAATATATAATATTCTACATTTTACTCCCTTTATCTATCAGCCTTTCACTTCTTAAAGGGGAGGTTTGCCTTGCGACTAAATAAATGAATGTCAGGAGTTGCTTTTCTGTCTCCTTTTGTTACCAGTAATGAAAATTAAAAACAAAACGCCGTACTGTAGACTTAAGTGGAAGTGTCTAAAGTGGAAGTGTGGTGATATGATGATGATGATGATGATGATGATGATGGTAGTTCCTGTGGTTGCCGTCTATAGTTGGTGAGGCTTCGTCAGGCCATCTTCACTCAGCTCAAACCTGCAGGAGGAGAAAGAAACACTCAAAGTTTTATTTTGGACCAAAGCAGTGTTTCATTAAAATCCCAGAGTTCATAACAACTGAGTTTCAGTTGGAAAACTGCAACACCAGTTTGAATACCAGAACTTTTCAAGGGATGCTGTCAGCAAACAAGTGCTTCATTCATTTACACTGCTAACAGCAACTCTGAAGTTGAACAAATCCATCAAAGGTTGACAACAACACGAGGAAACAGTTTTTCCATAAGTGACAATATCCGTTTAGGGATCCAAGCAGTGAAGTTGCTGAAGCCCTATTGGTTTTGTTGTCTGATTATTCTTCTTCTTTCTTTCTTCTTTTTCTCCACTAAAAGTGTTTGGGCAGCAAAAACTGCCCAAACACATGGGTGGGTTGCAAATTCCACCCACTACTCTGGCAAAAAATATTGCCCTCATAGACCTCACGGTGGCGCTATAACAATCAACTTTACGTTTTTACAATTATATAGAAAACTGCTTTGTTTAGAGTCAAACTTCTTTCATCATTTTAATCTTAAGCTATTGTACCAAACTTGACATGTATGTTCAGATGATCGGTCTGTGTTTCGCTGAGCAGTCCTGGGATATTATACAAAAAGTTTATACCTGGTAATTCGCTGCACGTGTTCGTACTCAGTTGATGCATAAAATTTAAATATTATGTAGCTGCCGTACCGGATGCTGCAGTTTCAGGACCGTGGCAATCCTGGGACTGCAGTTCTAGGACCGTAGTTCTTTTGCAACAGCGCCATCTAGTGGAGTAGTGGTGGGAATGCACAGCAACACGAAGGAGGTTAACCCTGTCTGCATGCATATAATCAATAACTTAAGTTTAGACACACACTCGGTGATGGTTCTGGTAAGGATAACTGGCTTATGGGGGGCTGTCAAGAGTAACACAGCTAGCTACTTTGATACTCAAAGTGGGCGTGGCTAATTGGAACAAATGTAAATTTCTAGACATTTCTCATTCAAACTTCAAAAAAATCTAAGAAAGTCACCCGTTTGTCCTAGAGAGCTGAAATCTTTTCAGCACATCCACTGAAATGTGACGAGATGTAACGTTTGCCTCACTGCAACCTATGGCCAATTCAGAAGTCAGTCACTCTATATTTTTCAGAATATGCTAAATTCAATTAACATCTATATCTCTAAGTCGGTGGTGCGGTGGTTAGCACTGTTGCTTCACAGCAAGAAGGTCGTGTGTTCAAACCCCGGTTGCCCCGGCCTTTCTGTGTGGAGTTTCATGTTCCGTGGGTTCTCTCCGGGTGCTCCAGCTTCCTCCCACCATCCAAAGACATGCAGGCTAGATTAATTGGTGATCCTAAAGTTTTAGCGTGAGCGGTAATTGTTGTGTTACCAAATGACTCAAGTATGCTTATAAAAATTGGGAGATCAAAGCCATTAGACTAACCATTGTGTCCAACCCTTATTGATGTCCTCGTGGCTCAAATCCACCAGAACCTGACGAGAAAAGGCAACAGCGTGTTTAGCTGACAGAAATAATGACTGAATTTAAATGACAGCATACATATTTCAAATTTAAAATGACAGTACATTATTATGTCCAGACTAATCAACTATACCTGAAGATATTTTTGTAAATGCAAAAGTCAGGATTTAAGTCCATTAGAATTCATCATGAAACAAGATACAAAAAAACAACAAAAAAAATTAATTTCAAAACAGTTCCCCAGTCCTGTGAAAGTCTGTACCTTTCCCAGAAGGCCTTTGTGTTTGGAGAGCAGGCCTCCGCCGTTCTTCACTGCAACATCCAGAGTACGCCTGTGGAGCTCCACAAGGGAAACAGTGAACTCAAACCTGATCGGACAGAGAGAGAAGAGCACACAGGGCATTTACAACAGTTACACTCAATAATAATAAGCAACCACTAAGAGAACTGTGTTTTCTCACAATACAAGTGAAAGCAGAAGAGTGGAACTCACGTCTGATCGTAGACTGGGTTGAGGTTTTTCTTGAATGTGTGAGTTTTCCTCCTGCCCGACCTCCTTTTGTCAGGGAGCAGGTAGAGGCGGACGTAAGGATCTGAGCCGTGGTCAGTGAACGCTATTAGGTTTCTGTGGAGGTAAACACGTGAATATTACTCGAGAGTGAAAACACTGACCTGTGTTTTTAGAAGAAACCCCTCACTCTTACTGGTCGGTACCTGCAGCGGTGAACAACCACGATGAGTTTATTCCTCTGGGAGCTGTGCCTGACTGTCAGCTGGACCTCACCCAGCGGGAAATGACTGGGGCCTGAACCACTGCAGAGAGAGACAGAGAGAGAGAAAGAGAGATTTTTCACCTCATTGTCATTGTGAAAGCGTGCAGTTACAACTGAAGGTCCGTCAGGTAAAGGTTTCAGATCTGTAGAAATATCCTCTTAAAAGATAACACTGGCAATTTTTTCTTATTGTTAACAGCCCCATGAAAATATGAAACAATGAATCTATCTAGTATCTTATTGCTCTGTGCCATAGAGCTCCATTAAAAACTATTAAAAACCCATAAGTGAGCCTCGCTGCTGCTCTGGGTCACATGTTCCTTCATCACCATGAACACACACCCACTGTAGTTTATTCTGACTCAGTCCCACATACACATTTTAATCCTGTTTGAATAAAGTTTGATGAAAACGTCAGTGAGCAGCTGCATTTAGGAAATTACTGTGCCTTAATCACACACACACACTTTGATTAATAGCCCGGGCTTTTATTTGCTAAAAATCACTGAATTGACCCCGCCTTTATTTTGGACAGGTGTCCATATGGGACAGGCCTTTAATTCCTTTTGCACAAAACTGAAATAGGCTACTATGAAACAGTTTATTTATTTAACAACAATATGAACAGTTTGAATATTACTTGTATAAAAATGATCAAATATTAAATACACGGCATTCATTTGATCTAGCTCTGACAGACGGCGTATGCACTTTTATTTTTAAGACAGCAACGTAAAGAAAACCCAACATGGTGTAGGATGAGAGCGATGGACTTTGAATTTTTATGAAAAGCTGTTTCGAGTCTTATGGTCGGTGGACCTTTACAGAGCATATAAATAATCAATAAAGGGACACATTCAGACTTAATGAGCGCTACAAAAGGTAACGGGAGTCTGCACTTTTTTTCCCCCCATCTCTTGTACCATGCTGGTTACGAATTAGACTAGAATGTAGCATATCCATACTGACATATTGATCATACGTTTAAACAATAATATTTGTATTAACAATCTAAGCAGCTTGGAAGCAGCAAAGGGGGAGCGCTCTGGCGAGATTTAAGAGGTTTTATACATCCAAAGAACTTCTATAAAAGCCAGACCAGGTGTTTACTCGAGGCCTGAGTTTATAAGCGGGTAGGTGACTCGGCTATTAATTGACGTTTTATGGTACCTCTGGTATTGTACAGCGAAATTAGCTCAAACACGACTTAAACTCTTCTATCAATGCTGAAATGGAATTATCAAGGTTAATTTACTTGAACCCGATGTCAGCAGGGATTGGCTCCACCCCCCGCGACCCTGTACACAGGATAAGCGGTTGACGATGGATGGATGAATTTACTTGAACTTTAATATAACTTTGGCAACAAAACCTGGTGGAAAAAAAATCATAAAAGTGGAGCTACGATCTCTGTAAAAACTAATCACTTTTGTCAAAATGATACCGGTGTTAAACCTCTGTTTGAGTTTTCCTGTTAGAAGATTTTAATGGACACTTCATCCAATCAGATAACTATTTTCTACGGCTATAAAGTCATACAAAAATTTGCCCTATACATGGTCAGACAGACCGTTCCTTCATTGGATGGACAGATAAATGCATATATGATTGATTGATAGATACTTTTGCAGCTGGTGGAGTCTCAGCTGCAGCTCCTGAGTAGCGTAGGGGTTGGAGATGTCCGAGGCGATGCTGGGCGTTGGCTCCTTGCCTCCAGCCAGGAACTGCTGGGAACCAGAGATGGCCAGGTTGGAGGTGCTCCTTCCGGTCTCTGCCAGGCCACGGCCTGCTCCACCCAGCCCCAAGTCTGTGCTTCCTGGAGACCTCAAGGGCTCATCTGCCTCCCGCCGCCGGTTCACCAGGTCCTGGGTCGAGGCAGAGACAGAGCGGGGGATGTCGGTGGTGGAGGAGGCGGGCTTGGGGAGGTCAGAGGAGACAGAGGGACGCGGGGTGGGGTTGGAGGAGTTGGCCTTTTTGACCTGCACGGAGGACGGGGTGAAGTCTGAGGATGAAGATGTGGTCTTTTCCAAGCACAACACCTGAAACGATTCGCGTACAGAGAAAAATGAGGAAGAGGCAAGTGAGGCTGACATATCTTTCATTCGTGCCTTTTTCTAGATCCTTGTTCTGTGTTAACAAACACTATTTCCATAACATCCCAGAAAAAACTAAAAAAGTTCAATAAACGAATAAAGTTCTGCTTTATTCTAAGTTTGAAGCTGATGTCATGTTTCCAGTAAAAGGTGTGCGAGCCTGCCCAATTTGGAATTTTAAAAAGCTTCAAAAGTAAAATGGCGAAACCATTTCAGGTGACCCCTGCACGCTAAATCTCATGGCGCTAAATGTTATGTCACGACTCATGACAAAGGACTAATTATCTTCACTAGAGAACATCATCTGCAGGCTGTCCTCCTACCCGCAGAGCCATCTTCATCTTGAGGGTGCAGCTCGCTCCAGAGTTCTTCAGGGGGAAGCGCTGGTTCAGAGTCATGTCCTCCGCCTCCAGCAGGCGACTCAGAGGCAGCGTCAACACACCCAATGAACACTCGTGTTTCTCATCCTTCACCTGAAAGACACAAAACCATGAGCTGACAGGTTAATGTCAGTCACATATTCATGAGACTGGAGCAGCAGTGAAATGATAAGCCGACAAAAGTAAAGCAAATATTATATTGGTGTTCCTAAAGAAGCTTCCGTACCTCAACCTTCAACTCTTGGCTTTTGGGGTTGTGGATGAGGAAGGTGAAAGTTTCCTCCCACACCGGTTCATTGCTCTTATATCTGACCTGGAAGAGGACACAACAGAGAGGGGTTAGAGGGAACAGAAGTCAGGGGGACATATCAAGGCCTAGTCAAGACAGACGACCCTGACGTCCCTGAAGTTATTTCAGTTGCGAAATTGAAGTGACTAATTTGTCGAGACTGACTGAACACAGATTAGTTGTCCACCAAATGAACTGCGGCTACAGAATAGAAATGTGCTAGCTTTAGGATGATGGGCAGCATTATTTTGGGAACAACTTTCTCTGTCAAAATGTATTCAAAATATCAAACAGCCTTTTTCTTAAGACAAACTGACCTTCAATAGTCCACTTCATTTATCAAACAGCTAACATGTAATGAGCCGAGGGAGGGTAAATATAAAGTATTCTGAATGTTTTTATTGTTTTTCAAGTATAGTTTGACGTTTTCCTTCTTTGGGAGAGTGAGATGAGGAGACCAAAGTGGAAACACAGGCATGTAGACTTCTCTAAAGCTCACTGATTAACACATCTTTTTGTTAAATTTGTACATGAGCAGAAATGTAAAAACTTCAATTTGGGGTTTTAGGGGGAGTTTTGTGTCGGCTAACATCAGCTTATCCACCTGCCCAGCACTTCTTTGCAGATACTCTGGTGATAGTGTGGTAAGTAGTTCTAGCAGGTAACTCCTAAAACCACAAGCTGTAGTTTTTACATTCCAGTTTTTGTACAAATAAAACAAACAAGATATCAAATGGAGTTCTTAAAGTGTTTTTAGCCTAATGTTGAACTTTGGACAGAGCCAGGCCACAGAAGCGGTCTCTCCCTGATTCTTTATGCTAAGCTAACTAACGTATTGACTCCTGCTTTGTGATTAATGCACAGATGTGACATTTATATCGAGATTCTCATCTCATCCTGGGAAAGAAAGCAACTACCTGAACTTCCCAAAACATTATTACATATAGCATAGTATATAACTGTTTGCTAAAAGGTGAAGCAGTCATCGATCAACGTGAGCCCAGAACATACTTCAAATATCATGTAATTCAAAGTCACACTAGCCATAGCTCTAATACTTTTTGAGATGAGAGGATCCACAAGTTTAATATTGAATGAAAGAATGATGGCGGGTATGAATGTGGACCATGTTTGGGTCTCACCTTGCTGTCGTAGGACTTGTGTCCCACTGTGAACTGGACAAATGGACTGGGACTGCTGGTCACTTTTTTACCGGACTGCAGAAGAAGAAAAACAGGTTTTACAAACAAGAAAGAGCGATGGTTAGCAGGGCGTTAGCAAACTCTGCTAGCATTTATCACTTCTTTGAATTTCACTTAGAGAAAAGTATTTTTTTACGAAACACAAAAAGTACTGACAAGTTTCTTTACAGTTCAGTTAGCAAAGGATTTCTTTAAAAAGATGTAGTGATGGAGTGAAATGAGTCTATAGGTCTTGCTTCGGTCAAGATTAAGCTCAGCTAAGCTGTTTTAGCATCTTTCTATATAAAATAATGAAATCAAATTTCTAAAATGAGCATGAGCTCACGCAGTGTCATTTTTGGGCATGTGATATCGCTACTTATCACATTATCAAGAAAATGTGTTATTTTTCATGTGAAGGAATTAAGCAGTACAGGTATCAGGTAAAATTATCTATGGACCCAAACCAGGAAGTCTGGAAAACCCGTCAAATCAGATTGAAAAAGAAAAGATCAATTAAAAATGTCAGAATCAATAGGCTGGGTGTGAATGTTCTTTAGACAACAATGTTGTTATTTACAACACACATTGTTAGACACAGTATCACACTTTTAGTCAACAAACATGATTCGTGAAGTTTGTTAATGATTTCACAACAACAACAGTCAGTCAGACAGTACAGCCACGGAGCTGTTTTGGATGCTGCAGCAGAGCCCTGCTGGGTACATCACCAAGTGAGCTTGAACTCTGTTAAAGTATAACTTAATGGGCTTAAAATGTTTCACAGCAGGAGAGAATATTCACCCCTTTAAGATACAAATTTTCAAAGTGCACTACAGTGCTCCAAATTCCCCAAACATTCTCCCAAATGTCTCCCAAAGGGATTTGGTGAAAATAAATCACTTAATTTATCTATAATATCCAAGGCGAACAGCCCTTACTGAATATACTTTTCAAAATAAAACCACCATCCAATTACAAAGCATTTTTTCAAAAACTTTATTAATATGTTGAATTAGTTTAGCAACCTTTGGGTCTAAAACTGTATGAACTAAAATGATACAGTACTTTTTAAAGTGTAGAAGGGCATCTACGGCAAAATATCTGCATCACTTTTAGCAACCACAGCATTAAGCAGCCATCTGTACTTATGCAGTTGTTAAAAGACTTAATCTACGTGCTTACTTCAAACCACAGTGTACACTATATGGCCAAAGGTATACAGATACTTTTGTTCTGGGGCGGTTTTTCCTGGTTTGGTCGAGGTCCCTCAACCTCATCCAACATTTTTCTGCTGTCAAGACTGAAACCAGATTGGGGGCTACTGGCCACAATCACATAAAGCTGTAATATTTGGGTGTCCGCATACTTTTGGCCACACAGTGTAAGTATGAGTGGACTGTGTGCGCATCATGTCACTGTGTTCCTCTGTTTCCCTCCTGGGTGTACTTCGTTGCCGTGTCGTTACCTTGATTGCCTTACTGAGCGAGGCCTCCGTCAGCCCCGCTTGGTTGAACTCTAACGGATTGCACTTTGATTTTCCCCCAGGAAGACAAGGAAGGAGAGAGCAAACAACACACAAACACACCAGCAGGTTATTTGGGAACAGAGGGGCATGCAGGGAGGAGGAGGAGGAGGAGGAGGAGGAGGAGGAGGAGGAAGATGGAACACACGAGGACCACCGCCATCACCAAATGTTGGGACACAAAGAGACAGACAGAGAGACAACATGGGTGAGATGATCACATGGTTATTGTCATTCCCCGATTAAACCTGGACACAAAACTAGAGTTCAACCAATACTGGATTTATGAGGCATAATAATATATTGCAACACAGATGGCAAACTATATCTATATTTGGCTGTTAAAAGTATTGTGGCAATGGTATATATTGAGGCAGGAGTTTTTTCCAGTTGAACAATAAACTAGAAATGTAAGATTATAAATATTAACTATAAATTAAAATCCAAATTAAACAAAAAAAAAAAATATATATATATATATAAAATAACGCTGACCTGCAGTACTTTTAAAATGCAACTGGTTTTAGAGTCACTATCTGCCATGAACTCGTGTCAGCTAAAGAATATTGGTTAAACTCTAGTCAAAATACCACAGCATTAGATGGGAGTCACTGACTGAAATGGAGAGAGAAATGAAGATTAGAGGGAAGGAATCAGAAGCTGAGATGCTTTTATCTTATGTTTCTGTATTTATATTAGTGTGAAATGTTATCAAAGCCAACTCCCCTTGCAGAAGGTCACGTACAACACACCCCATTAACAATGTACTGAATCAAGTATATTTCATAGGATCAAAAACTTGGCAACAACAAAAGTATGACCTCTGGTGTCTGATTCTGCTCGTGTTTTCATCAGATCACACCGGGACACATGAAGCAGGTATGGATGCTAAAGGCCCAGTTCTACTTCTGCGTGGAGTCTGCGCTGGCTACGTGCCGGCGTGAGCATTTAGACGTGTGCGTTGTTTGTGTCGCTCCGTAATTACGCCGCCAAAACGCTAGTTGGCAGTGGGTTGTCTATATTCCACTATGTTGAGTTTCTCCTTCTTCTTCTTCGTTGGTGTAGGCTACAACAAACAAAGTGAGCAGCTCATGTTAGAGCTGATCTGAACAGCAGTTACCTTTTGGTGAAACTATTAAAGTGCAGAAACGAGAGAAGGCGTTGGAGGAGATGGTATGTACGACCCTTGAGGCAGAAGAAGAGGAAATGCAATGCTACCAATCCGACCGAATCACCATTCTTGCGGTCTGCGTCACCGTGACACGTAGTAAATTTTTGGGGCGGTGAGCATCAGGCCATGGCGGAGGGTACGCCGTAGATTAGACTCAGAAGTATAAACCGGCCTTAAGTCAGTAATTTTATCATAAACGTCTACTGAAAAGAAAAGAGTGACCTTTGGGGTTAAATTTTAACAGTGTGAAAAACTACTAACTTGTAGCACATACATTACTGGATGTTCTGGTAATTTCTGAAATGTAAAAATGGTGTGGAGTTAAACCCATTTTAATTAAATTGTACAGAACTTCATCTGTTATTCCCTCCTATTCAACTTTGTTCTAACATGGAGAAATGGGTCTGAAAACTCAATCCAGATCACTGATGTGAGATCAGCGGTAAGATTTTTAAGCAACACACAGACTTGTTGACAAGTAAGCAGTTTGATTAAAGGGGCATTAACTCATCGGTGACACCTGCTGGCCCACAGTCACAACTGCAATACTTATTTAAGCTTTCGACATCAGCCAGTATTCATCTCAGATAACATTTCCTGTCAAAAGGTCTGTGCAGTCCTTTAAAATTATACGTGCTGCCGCCTGTGAACCACCACAGGGGGAGGGCTGATGGGGAAAACCAGCACACACACACAAAGGGCTTATACAGGAAGGATGGAGGGAAAGCAATCCACTCAGAATTCACCCGCCCTTCTCCCAGTGTCTCAGGACAATCAAAAGGCATTCCTTCCTCTCAAAATTAATTAGATACAAAACTAATTTGCAACTACAACATACAATTCTTGAAGGCTGTCGTAACCTGCCTAGGAGGTGGGAGACTTTCTGACTGTTTGTGAGATTTTGATTCAAGGCGGTTGGAATTTTGTCAGTGAAAGGTGTGACAAATATTCAGCCCTGACAAGCTTTTTTACATGATGAAGGGGAGATGTTGAAGAGATGAAACTGGAATATTATGGACTAAAAAAACCCCAGCAGATAAAAATGGCATTTGTAAAAAGAAAACTTCTACAATATCTCAATATTTTTGTTGATGAATAAAAGAAAGATTTTGTTCCTCCACGTTTTTGAAATTTATAAAAATATATTGAGGCCGTTTGCTAGAGATCAAGTAAAATGATCAGCAACGGCAAGTTATTACACTAAAATGTTTTAAAACTTTTTATCAACTGATGATTAAAACAAGACTGACATGTTGGTCTAAATGTTCATCAACTGAACGTTTTTGTCAACTGACTGAAAAAGTGTTAAAATAAGAATGAAGTTGAGTCACCATGTCTGAAACTCACATGGACTTTTGATCTCAGGACTCAGACTAAATGTGGGTGATTAAATTAATAGCAATTTAAGAAGAGTACATTAAAACACTTGTCCGGTACTTTTTGCGCTGACTATTGTGACACATAAAGCTAAAAGTAAACCTTTGTAATAGCATACAGAGAGCAGTACTGGTTGTTTTATCCCTTTGAAACTCTAAAAGGTAATGTAATCTCTTCGCTGAGGCAGAACAACACCACCATAACTTTGTTTTGTGGGGCTCTTTTTATTGGACACATAGCTGCTGTTTCCACTTTCCAGAAAATAACCCGTCTGATAAAACTGATGAGTAGAAACAATGTCCAATGTGTCAACTAATCCTGTGAGATCAATAACTCTTAAAAGGGAAAATAATAGAGGAGGAAGGATGCTTTTGATGGTCCTAAAACATAAACCCACAAAGTTGTTTACTAATTTTCAGACCATGTTCCTCAGCTTTGTAATCAGTCAAACTCCAACAAACAACACTCATACCAAATACTGATATTAAGGAACTTAATAATTATTAAGTAACTCATGCTCTGGTTGGGATTCATGCTCATCAGGCAAAACAATTGGAACCCTTGCTTTTTAAAAACACAAGCTAACATAAAACAAAAAGGAACATGACCTCTAGACGTACTCACACCTTGGAAACCAAACTACTCTAGGATGCAGAAAACAGCCAGCAGACTCACAAATAAGGTCCTATAGAGAGAGGCAGTGTTCTCGCAAAACACGAGGCCCGCCGCCCGCCTCTCTTTTAAGTAGCCAGAGCCCAAGTTCCCCTCGAAGACGCTCTTCGGAGGGAGAGGAGAGAGAAGAAGCAGAGAAGATAAGAAGGCTGAAAAGAGGAAGGTGAGGCCCGTCTGCGCTACACAGATCAAACGCCAACAAAGAAAGCTCTTCAGACTAGAAAATACTGTGCAAGACAAGGCAGACTCCACTCTCTTCACTTAAAGGTGCAACGACAATCAACAGTTCAGTTACCGCAAACAAATGAGAGCACTGCTGAGAAAATTTATTTACAGCCGGAATTGCTACTGTTTGTGAAACACAGTATTCAGTTCTGTTATTACATACATGCATGGGTGTGATCTAGATAGCATTGAACTTAACTAGTAATACCACTAACATGAGACAGAGGTAGAAATGATCAAAACTCTCATTTGTTTACAGTAATTATATAAAAACGTATCACTGTCAATATGAGACTCATGCTTTCCTCCCTTGTAATGCTTTCCAATCTAACGGACTGGATTTTTTTTTAACAGAATGAATATCAATTTGAATGGTCTTATATTCTTAATAAGCATTTTCATCCATGAAACTCTGTGTCTGCATTTACCCTGAGACTTAATCTACTGATACAGCTGCTGCACTAATGGTAACATTAACTAATTGTGACAGCACTTAAATCAGCTTCCCAGCTCTCATTAACAGAAGAACAGGATCCTGCATTGAAGCAAATAACAATTTTAGCATATTAAATAGACTGAATGGAAATTTTAAAAAGCTAAAGCGCAAAACTTGAGACCGGATGAACACAGCCAGAAATAATAACGTGCCTTTCTGTCTGAATGAAACAAAACAAATATTACAACAAACTATTACAACATAATTCACCATTATTTAATTTGTTAAAGTCTTCTTTCTACTGCACCTTTAAGATGAGATGGAGTGAAGAGCAGAAAAGAAGCTCAGAAAAGCAGATAAGTGACCGTGGCGAAGGTCAACACACCGAGTGAACTACGACCAACTAGGGCTGGGCGATATGGCCAAAAAGATTATCACGATAAAAAATGTCATATTTGATATCGATAATTATCACGATAAAGACGTTAAGAAACCAGATGGTTAATGGTGGGTTCTTTATGGTCCGAACATGACAAACACTTGCCAAACAGTGGATCTCTTATCAAATCTGAGGTGGAACATTCAAAAACAATTAAGATAAAATGTTTTTTCATTTGTAATTTTGTTATTGAGGAAAGTTATATTGCAATAATTATTGTTATTGTTTAATTGCCCAGCCCGACGACCAACCAGCAAAAGCTGATTGGCATGAAAGTATTAACCAGACAGCAATGAAGGCAACAAACTACAGCTCCAACTTGTGCAAGACAAATTAAAAAACATATATAAATATATAAAGTTAGGCATGATAAAATAAAAATTATGAGAAACTCCATCAAAATGTTTAGTGTCTCATAATTCTGACTTAACATCAAGAAGTTCCTACTTTTATGTTTATCGTTACTAACTTTCCATATTGTTTTCTTTTTGCGGCAAAAATGGGCTTCAATAACAAAGCTGTACATTCGACAATGTTGTATTTATTGTGGGACATGTAAAATGCCGTGAGTCTGATTTATGATCAACAGCTTGTGAATGTCAGCCGCCACCCGTCTTTATGACAAGCTGCTTTCCCTAAAAAACAGAGCATCTATAAATCACAACCGTTTTTTTTTTTGTTTTGTTTTTTTAATATCTATGTTATATTTGCTGACTCTAAGATGAAGCTGGAAATCATTACTGTAGGTGCACTCTGGGAAGTTCGACCAGACTGACTTACCGGCAAGTTTCTGGCCGAGTCCAGGAAGATGACGAGCAGCGCAGACGACAGGCCGTCGTTGGCTTGACCACGTTCAGCTTTGATGCTCATCAGTGCCTGTGAAGAAAAGAAATAAAGATACAGTTAAACAGTAACTGCTTCGTTTTTGGTAAATTTGATCCTCTGAGGCTTCATGTGGGAAGAATACATAGGTTTACAGGTTCAGGCAGGCTGGAGGTCAAATGTCCATCACAAGTTCCCCCAGAGTCAAAGACGACATCTTCAAATTGTTTAATAACTTCAATGAACTGCTCATTTCAAGCTGTTTCCATAAGTGTAGCAGTGGTACTGTACCTGGTCCAGCTTCTCAGGTGTGGGCAGCACAGACAACCACTCCAGTTTGAGGTGCAGCTTCCCCTTGGGCACCTCTTGCATTACAAACCACTGAGGACAAAGAAATATTCCTTATTAATATTGTAAGCATTAAACTTTCTCTAGACATATTTCCATCACATAGCATCAAATTCTGTCTGATAAATAAAGAGACAAATATAAAGTAGAGAGAAGGAGATGAACAATTCTGACATGAGCTTTTTAGTGAGCATTTGTTTAGAGCTCCTGCACAACAGCAACAGGGACATTTTCACAGATATAAACAACTATTTTTGCTTCTCTTTATCAGTGAATGTTACAACACAGCAATCCTTTCTATCCAGTATATATTGTGCTTTTTCTCCAGGCATTGATGTGATTTGTAGACATACACAGCAAAAGATTTTTTTTAGAAAGACAAAGATGCAATAAAGCTAATAAAGCTAAGAAGCCGTGGGTGATTACTTTGTACTACAAAAATACAATTGATTGTCCTTTTACCTCATAATTTTATTTCATATTTAAGTCAAATTCCCTAAATCACTCCCTTATTTTAATAATAATAATAATAAGACATAAGGTATGCTTTACTTTAACACTTTTTTTTCAGGGACCAAGAGGTCAACTGTCACTCAAACCCTGAAAAAAGTGCAGTGGGGTAACACCAGAGTAAGGAACACATAGGATCAATGCTTTTGCTATATGAAAAAATGTCTACTGCACTTTAGTCTAAAATGGGGCTGACTGCTGAAGGCACTGAGAGGAGGTCAGAGATTCAGATTACCTCGTCAACCTTCTGTTCCTTCTGGATCTCAGCCATGTCGAGCACCAGACTGAAAAACATGTCACAAACAATACAAACGTTCACAGAGGGCCAACTCATCACACAGCAGTTTGGCTGCAGTGTCCCGACAGACTGTTTCTCACTCTGTGGTGAGTAAATGGGCTCTGGTGGAAATTAAAGTTGGACACACAACGCTGCACTCATTAAACACCGCTGTGAACTCTCTGTGAAAGCTCCACATCGCTTTCAGGGGCCTTTGATGAAAAACTTTAGGTAAATGGAGTGTAAAATCCTATTACATACACAGCAAACTCTTTCTGACAAATATGATTTGTATGAAAAACACAATTAACACAACACATAAAGTCCTCAGTTAATCCATGAATTATCAAATCTATATGTGCAGCTATGCTTATTGAAGTACACCTTATTGTATGTCGTGTCAGTGCTTGTATGTACTGAACTTGAATTACTGTAAAGTGCTTTAGTGGGTCACAACTAACAATCATTAAATAACTAAAAAGGCAATATAGATAAATTATTTTCTCCAGTAATTAACTAAGGTGATGTCTCAAATGTCTTGTTTGGTCTGGACAACCCCTCCTAAACACAAAGATATTCAACAGGTAATAATGTTAAAAAGAAAAGCAGTAAATCTTTACATCTAAGGAGATAAGATATGAGGATGATTTGCATTTTTGGTCGATGTGTGACTTGAACGATTATCAAAATGATTATTGACAAGTAATCTGATTATTCAAGCAATCATTCAAACCCAGTGACACGAGTTAAAATAATTTGCAAAAAACTCAAAATCCATGACAGTTTTTGGCCTTATAAAGAGCCTTAACTCAAAAGATATTAAAACAATAACCATATATAGGCATCATTATAGTTTGTGTCTTTTGAGTTTAACAAAGGTCATCAGTAGATCAAAACAGAGGCGGCGGGGTAGGAAGGCTTCTAACAGGTTCTGGCAATAAGAAGTAGCTTTGTTGTATTAACAGAACCCGCACCATCCCAGGAAGTCGTCTTCATCAGGGTCTTCATCAAACAGCTCTATCTCCAGATTGGGTCCGCAGTTATCGTACACCAAGGCCTGAAAATAGGAAGAAACACATTAATATGACTTCATACACACTGAACCCAGGACAGGGGGAATACATGGGGGTTTTGGATCCACTTACTGTTGGTGCACACCTCCAAAGTGTTCAGAGTGAACACCGAACTAACAGTGACTCCCCGTCTGTCTGCTACTTTCCTCTCGTTTTCCCATTTTCGACTTAGGCCTCGAGAAAGAATTTGCATCCACTTGCACTTTGTGCTTGATATGTGATTATGCCTTAATCTCGAGGTCAACATTTTACATCTTGACACATTCATCTGAGGCAAAGCAAGCAGTTAAGTTTCTCTCAAAAAAATTTACATTTTCCTTGTCGACTTTCAGTGCAAAGATGAAAAAAAAATGCAACTGCGCAAATGTACAATGCAACCTGAAAAAGTCTCATGGACTGACGGACAATAACAGTTTGTGACAGATTTTGCTTGGGGTTAGAATTTGGTCACTTTGTTTAAAAAGTATAGACATTGGTTTTATATTTTTCACTTATTGTCTATTTAGAGATTATTTAAAATCTCCAAATCAATCTCTGTGCCTTTTCTTAGCATGTGTATGTTGAGTATTGAGAGCGTTATGTGTAGGCCACGATTATTTGCCATAAATGGTACATTTAAGACTGCACGACGTGGAAAATGCCTTCATTGTGAAAATCACCTTTTTAAGAAACAAAGAGACAGTTTTCTGTCACAAAATAATAAAAATATATGATGCTAAGTAAATTACATAAATTGATAAAATTCAAACTGAATAAAGAGGCTATTACAAATATTCCGCCCTAATATAGACAGAAATGTGGATTAGATCACAGGATACCTTCAGGAAACATTAGTCTTGCAAGCAGCTTCACCACAGTTGTAGGAAGGGTCTTTATTTATTTAGGTGAGATCCATGTGTGCAGTGTGTATCTTTTCATGCATGATGCCAAAATTAAAACAAAATAATAATTCCAAAATTAAAACTATATAAAATAAATTCCATAAACTCAAGTTTCCTCCCACTTAATCTCAGATTGATGCTGGCTGTCAAACCGTGTTGCTCACCTCGTAGACTTCGTTCCATTTTGGGTTTAGGTTTTCCTGGATGACTTTGCTCTTGAAGAGCTTGGTCCCGACATGGATGACTCCGTACGGGTCTGACTTTCCTTTCACCAGCCCTCCTAGGAACTTGTCTTTAGCCATCAGGTCCTGGGCCTCAATGAAGTGGATCCTCAGAACGCCCTGAGGAGAGAGACGAGTAACGGACATTGTAAGATGAGGATGGACCAGGAGAGGAGGGCGACGGGTCTTAAAGAAAACAGACTATCTCTGAAATCATTTTATATTTTAGAGTGCACGGACAAGTGAGGAATTTTCACAATAAATAAGTACAACTTGAAAAAGTACAAAATCTAATAAACAGTCTGAATGAAAATCAAGCAGGGCCCATATATAATCTAATCAAAGCTGCGATGTGAGTTAGCGTTACGATCATTTGAATTTGGGCAAGATGTAAAATAGTCTCTGTATAGGATCTGACAAAAGGGGCATTCTTGTAGTGATTTACTACGAGGAGTAAAATCTTTTGGGTGGAGTTTTTCACTGCATTCACATTACAATGATAAAAGAAATGTGTACAGCAGAAAATCATCACATTAGAGAAGCTGTTTAGTATTTTTCATGACCAAACCACACGTTTCGGTCACTCAACATGTTGTTTTAAAACTGTAAGTAACTGTAAATGCACCTTGGGGATGGGGAAGCGTAGCTGAGCCATCTTGGCCTCTCCCACCAGAGGGATGGTGATGCGGTTGGGCAGGACCAGAGCGTTGTTGATGATGTCCTGGAGGATGTTGTCACACAAACCACTGAGAGCGATGGAGGAAGAATGGAGGGAGGTGAGGGAGAGGGTAGAAAGAGAGTAAAGGAGGGGGAAAACAAAGAATAACCTTAAAACATCAAAAAGAGTAACAATGTAATACATGGGGGAAAAAATGGAAGCCAAGGAGGTGCAGTTAGTACAAATTAAAATCCAGCTAAGACAGAAACATTAGACATTCTTCTAAATGGTCCTGTGTTGCCTCACAGTAAGAAGGTTGTGGGTTCAAACCCCGGTTACCCCAGCCTTTCTGTATGGAGTTTGTATGGAGTATGGAGTCAGCTGGGATTGGCTCCAGCGACCCTGTACGCAGGAAAAGCAGTTGACAATGGATGGATGGATAACAGGTTAGGACTGACTGATCCAAAAAGGAAATAACACTAAACCCTGGTGTTTATACAGAAACACACAGGAAACTGTAACAGTTGTTTGGTGTGTGAGAGTGAGTAGGATAGTCTTTGTGCATATCGTTTGGTTTATACAGCACAAAGCACAAAGACGCACACACAATATTAATGGATGAGTACAGACAAGTCTTCTTTCGCCTCGTTTCCTCTAGAGGGCAGCAGCAACCTGCATTAAAACCCAGCTGCATTGCTTTGCTACAAAAAGAAATTACCCCTGAAAGAGCTGATCCTAGGTCAGCTTCACACCACAATTTCATGTGAATGGTAAGTTTCATTGTAGAACTGCTGATTCCTGGTCTGCTCACTCACCAAACACATAATCATTTCCAGATAAAGCTTACCTCGGCTGTGTGTGCGACCTCAGGTTTCTCTGCTGTTTCAGGACAAAATGAAAATCATCACAGGGGAAATACTGAGTGTGAGGAGTGTAGGGCAAGAGCAGGTCTTCACAGCACGCACATACACACACAGGTATTTTCCTACAAGCTTGTCGAGCAAGGAAAGCGACATTTCACAGGGCGGAGTCCTTTAGAAACCACAGAGTGTTTCTCTGCTGAAAACAAACAGTAAACCAACTGAAAAAAAGCAACAGGTCAATATGGAGAAGTAACAATGCAGTTAGCAGCGTGGTGACAGTGCTCTGCAGGACAGGGTGTTCGCCAGAGCCAGGTTGTGTATCAGGTTGTGTTGTTGTTCTTGAATGTATAGTCTGGGCTATTTTATACAAAATCTATTTATAAAAAACAGCCTGTTGTATCTCTTATATCTCAACAACTCTTCAACGGTGTGCCATGAAGTCCATTCCCCTGGCTTCTCCTCTAGCGCCACCATAAGGTTCACATTTATAGTCCTGAGTGAAATGCCAACTATTTGACCAAGTGCCATTAAATTTGGTACTGATATTCATGTTCCCCCATAATGATACATTGTAACTGTCCCTTCACTATCCATCTAGTGCAATCCAAATACCTGTATTTTGTGCTAATTAGCCAATGTCAGCATGCTTAAGATGGTGGACATGGTAAATATTGAACCTGCCTAACATCAGAATGTTAGTAATGTTTCTGCAAGCATGTTAGCATTGTGACATTAGCATTAAGCTCAAAGCATCGCTGTGCTGTCTCCTCCAGGCTAGCCTCTGTTGGAGTGAAATGCACAACATGATGTGATGTGGTTACACTTTTTACGGCTGTCCATCCCAAATGTCAATGTGGATTTAAATGTGGTTTTCTTAATTCTGGAACATCTCGTTAGCTCTCTAGTGAGGCCTCAAAAGCGCTCATAATCATCTCGGACGTTTTAGCAATTTAACCCACCATGCAAAGCATTTGATTATATAATTACAAAAACACTGCATCCGTCAGCATTGATGTAGTCAAATCTAAAGTTTTTTGGTTGCTGCTGTGTATGCCTCGATGTTGATGCTAAACTAAAAGAAGTCCTGTCTGGAAAAGCTTCCATACCAAATCCACCCAACATCACATCTCTGTCTGCAGCGGTTCTCCTGTCATAAGCACGTTACTATAAATATCAACACTTAGTGGGGAAAATAAATCCATTCTGTGATCTGGTGGTTAATGTAATGGTTTCAGCAGCAGAGCCTGAGAGACTGCTCAGGCTCTGTGTCCACTGGGAACTTCTCTTCAAAGCACCGGCTTCATTTTGTCATTATACCAAGCAGGAAGGATGTGCTTCTACACCGAGTGCTCGGCATGTTTTTAGTTCTCCTACTGTCGAGGGTTTGAAGTAATCAGATGTGATATTTTCTCACAAGGGCCCACTAAAAGAATAATATGGTGTTTTTTGAAAATGAAGCCATGTAAATGTGTTCTGGTACAACTTCTAAATAAAATGATGAACCTGAAAATGAGGCTGAAATCTGTGGGTAAAAAGTAAACTACTTACTTTAAGAATGTAATACAATATGGTGTTGATGAGTGAGTCACAGAGAGAAACTAATAAAACATCTTTCTTGCTGGTACTATATATAATTTCCACTCATCCACTCATTTCAGAGGCCCCATAATGTGGCTAACGTTTGCATTGGAAAGCAGATTTCAGTTAAAGCCTGTGCACATAAACCATAAAAATATTTCCGTACAGTCAAATAGAAAGTTGGAATATTCCCACAAAGCACTGCCAGATGAATATATGGAAATAAAAGTTTACACCGCATTAGAAAATAACAATGATGAATGCTAACCGATGTAAAATGCACTGCTCATTATGTCTTCATTAGGAAGGAAATAATGAATAAAATGGTGACCTCTGAAGTGGTCAACTTTAACTTGTGTGCGTATATTATGTGTGATACATACAGTACGTCCACATGGAGACAAAATAGACACAGTTATCACATCATGTCTCTATTACACACACACACACACACACACACACACACACCCTGCTAGGTCCCAGAGAAGCTGTTTGAAGCCACCTGGTCATGATTATCAAAATAATGTGTGTTCAGGATGGGGCTCAGTTCTTAACAACAGAGGGAAGTGATCAGCCTAATCAAAATCAACGGATGCACAGACCAACTAATTACACACAGACATGCAAATGCAGACCTGTAATTTCAAGACAGAAACATTGAACACACACACACACACACACACACACACACACGGTGACAAGACTCTCCACAACATTACACGCAGGTACTTACTTAATACCGGGAATGTCCAGCATGTTTGTGAGTCCTGTCCAATTGATGTCCAGCAACTGAAAGAGAGAGAAAAAAATAAGATTGAGAAAAAAGACAAAACAAAAGAAAGACAAAAATGATTTTCTGATTATCCCTACTCTGACATACTGCTCCTCCTGTTAATGAAAAGCACACTTTTTTTAAAGTTCAGAGTTGCCTTAAAGACATTTGTTCCCACGACAGTTCAGTTTTTAAAGGCGACAATCAGCTGCATTTTACCCAGGCATTTCATGCAGCAACAATTATTTACAAAAAGTTGTTTTAATAAAAATCTATTAAAAGATTTACAGAAATTCTCTGACAAGCTTATGTTTGCCTTATGAGCATTAGTGAGAAGAATTCAAACCTTTACTACCTATTTAATTATGGAAATTTCTCCCTGACAGCAGCTTAGGTTTAATAATATCTATGAAAAATGGGTAACGGGTAAAACGTTTTTTAGAGCAATGTTCTGCCATTAATATAGTCAAAATGATTAAATAAACTGAAAGTTGGAACTAAATATTGGCAATTAATCTAACTGAATCAATATGATTCAAAAGAAAATTTCCAACTACAGCAGAAACTTAAAAATAAATGAAAGTTTTGGTGTGGAACAATACCACGGTGGTGAGGTTTCCCAGCACCGTGCTCTTCTTCTACACATTATCAGCTCCTCACTGACGGCGTCATTGTCAGCAGAGCAACTCTAATTCTATCGACTTGATCATTAATTCAGAGGGGCAAAGTGAGTTAGCCTTCATACAGACAGGAAGTAAGGTACTGTGTCTACCTGTCTTTGGAAATTACTTAATAAATAAACAGCAGATGCTAGAGAAGTGAAGTAAGACACAAAATGTGCAAACAGCTTTTGAGTCGTTAGCTTGTCACCCATATGAGGCAGTGGATGCACAGCCAATGAGCCTTGTCAGTTCTTCTTAGATTAAGTTACGTGGATTTGCTTTTGAATTCATTTGAAAGCACTAACTGTCAGCTCTCCTCCATTTGAACATGATTTTTGGAAAAAGTGACAGTCCTAATATGTGTGGCTGTGCATGTGTTAGCGCACATGCCTTCATACTTTCAGAAAAAAAATACACCCTCATTCCAATAATGAGTCCACAACCTTTTGGTGCGACTAAAACGAAAAAGATAAATAGAAATCAAATCCATTAGGCTGTCAGAAAGAATGCAGGCAGATTACCACAATCCCATAAAAATATTGAACTATGAAGGGTGTTGATAAAGGACAGACCCCTTGAATTCACCGCAACAGTGCTTTTACCATTTCAGGTTTTCAAGATGAGCAGTTAATATTGACCTTTCAAAGACTGTCACTGGGCCACAGAACGGACTAAACAGCACGAAGAGATGCAATAATAATCCTTAGACGAGAACATCCACGCATGTTTCTCATACGCAGCAGTTTTCTAACACAGTTATGAGGCTTCTATATACTTCACCTTTAAACTGGGTTACCTGTGGAACCAGATTATGAGGAGAAGTCACATATCAAGCATTATTATCAGTTCGTCAGACAGGAATGTCCAACAGTCACTGCAGTAATAAGCAAGGCTGAATCACAGCAACACACACACCTGACACACCCTGCTCTCTGATCAATGAATGTCATGGTTACTGCTGCTTTCATACCAGCTAACAATGGTACTAACAACTTCATTGTAGTACAAACAGTACAGGCGGCAATGATTAGCATTAGTTCTGTTATAGCTGTATCTAGGAGTCGCAGAAGCCCATTTAACAGCAGTGGTGATAATATTAGGATATTAGGAGTAGTAGCATGGGTAGTGTTAGTACATAATATGGTGTTCTATGAACAAGGTCATTAATATGTTGCTATAACAGCCTAGTGCAGATCATGAAAAACAGCCCAAACCAAGTACACATAGTATGTGAACGGGGGTGTCCATGGCAGTGAAACTTCTAGGAGAAGCAAGGGTTGAAGACACGGGTAAATTCTTCTATCAGGGTATGATTGGGAGGTAAGTTGACATTTAATACATTGATTAGATTTGACATGCGGTTTTGCATGCACTTCCCGGGCCGCCACAAATAAATGAATGTATGGGAAACACTGTATTGTAATATATCACATACTGTGATATGTCAAGGTATATGTAATGTGATACAGCAACAGTGCAAGGAATATTATGGTAATTGTATATTTTATTCAAAAAAGATACTGAAAAACCTGTTACTAGATAAAACCACAAAACTGGAGTGTCTGTTTTTTTGTCTAATGCAGAGAATACTTTGACAAACTGCCGGACTTTCATCTCAAAAGACGCAAAAAAATCCTGTGAATCCAAGGTCACCAAAACACAACCCTACTCACATTAACAACATAACCCACAATGGCCTGCTTCTTTGGTAGTTAAAGAACAGCAAAATGTCATCATGTGTACCTGATGACATTTTGCGATGACTTGAAACGCTGTACTCTTGTTAAATGAAAACCGTTTCTGAAAGCGAGACACTGCTCAACCCCAGAAGTAGCTAAAGAACTCAGAGTTGAAGCAGCAGTATTGGCAGTGGCATTAGCATTAGTAGCATCAAAGCTAACACTATCAGTAGTTGCAGAGGTAGTGAAGTGATTGTAACAGTAGTAGAAGCAGAACTAACAGTAGTCACAGTAGTTTAAAATTAATCCTGGTAGTAGTTGACGTATTAAGTGCAGCTACAGCTCTTTAAGTTCTAGCAGCAGCAGTTGTAGCAACACAGGCTGTAGAAAAACGTTGGCATCACGTCCGTAATGAAGACCGGAGTTTGGGTTTACTGGTTGCTACGCTCTTTTGTCAGAGCATGAACGCAAAAATCTCGATAATTTTCGAAATAGGGTGTAGTCTGGATGGAGCTGAGGCGTGGCAAGCAAGCAGGAGCTACCAGGCCTGAGTGAGGCAGGCTGAGACAGAGAGACTCTTTGTCTCGATAATCAGGACAATTTGATTTTCAGAGAGTAAACAAATCAATCAGAACACAGAAGCAGAAATATCTATTTCAGACTGCGAAGCAGCCCCAGACTGGAGCGTTGACTGCTGGTCAGTGTTCAATCATCATCACACAAACTGTACCGTCACAAGACAATCACCAGACTCATGTTGGGAAGGCACCCAGCTCAAAATAACTCCAGTTCACTCACCATAAAAGGAGTGTGCCAGTTGTCCGAGTTAACATATATGTGTGTGAGTAAGAGCCAGAGGGAGGAGTGTGTGCATGTGTGTGTCAGAGAGTCACCACAAAGTTGAAAAAGGTTATGAAAGAGGCTTAAAATGTCAAATGCTGGAAGCCGTTATTACGGCTGAAGCAGATGAAGGGCGATGAGGAAACTGCTGAAATGCCTCTGCATGTATTCAGAGCATCTGTACATGGACACACACGTGCACACACAGATAAGGAACATGTGGATAGAACAACTTATTTAGACATCATTCCAAAAATAATCTTGTTGATGAGCTTGTGTCCCTGTTGTCTGTCCAGAAAAATTAAATACAGAAAACAAGACCTTTAACTAGTCGAGTTTGCACTTACATCATCCGGTCAGCATGAAAACACGGCAGCTCAGCTTGTCTGAGAGCTGCACAAAACTGTGTGAATGTTCACATGTCAGTCAAATTTCCTCTGTGAGTCAAATCTACAGGAAACACATGGGGGACTTACAAGGGACAAATTGACCTAAAATATGTGCTGCATGGGCAGAGACCTTTCTAAGAGACCTTAACTTTTAATCCATTGTACAGATCAAGGATCCTAAAGCAGGATCCTACCCATAATGTAACTCTATCTTTATATTATATCCTTCCTTCCTGGTAGATGTCCACTCAGCTTGTAACAGAGGCTTCTAGTTATACATTCGTGGTCCCCCAGCCCAAGCTCAGATACTGATGTTATTAAGCTTCACTCTCCAATTTCATCCAGAGCCACAGAAGACTCTATTCATCTGTTTCCATAGGCTGGTTAGTGCTTACTATGATCAGAAAACTGATCTTTATGGGTGAAATTGAGTTTCTCTTTAATCCTTATGTGAGACTCTGTCTCTGCCTGTGTGTTAGGCTAATTAAATGTACAGTATGTGTGTCCATGTGACTTCACTGGCATGTGTTTTTATGTGTGTGTGCAGCACAGTGAAGTGGGCGCACGTCTTTCAGTGGCCTAGTTAGTGCTCTAGATGCATACCACTGTGTGGACCACAATGCATTCCTGCCAGGCTAGCACAGGAAGAGAATGAAAGCAGCTGGGGGATTTCACAGAACAATTCATGTAAGAAAACAACGACCGTTACAGAAAAATAATGGTTCAAGATATAATAATGTTTTCATTATTAATTCAAAATTAATTTACCATAACGCAAAATGTGTGTGGAACTATGGAGGTTGCTACATTTCATTCATTTTATCACCAAACCTGGTTCAAGTGTTGGCCGTCCTTTGCTGCTAGGTGTTCTGTGGGTGCTACTCTACGGGTATTGCTCCAGACTGAAACGACATTTCTAGCTGTCTGGAGCAGATATGCTGCTAATGCAATATCCTAAAGGACTTGTTGATTTACGTACTGTCGGGCTAACTATTGTGCATTTTACTATTTTTACTTTTACTCTTGTGGACTTTGTGGATGTTTACTGCATTATCACCATGTTGTAGTCCATGTTGATCTTTCACTGGTGTTACTTTGTTTCCTCTTGTCATGAAGCACAATGTAGCTAACTTGGCAGCTAGTCTAAACGTTTGCGAGTCCAGTTTCCTCGTCACTGTACTAACTCATTTTTACATTTCCTTTTGTCTTATTCGTGTTCATGGAATGTCATTGTTTTCTGATTTGTTATAGGTATTTGTTGTCTACAACAGTTTTACGGTTGCTTCAAGTAAAAACTTCAAAGGCAACCCGTTATCTTCAACCATTAATGCAAGTGGGTTTAGTTGCTGCATAGCTGGGCACCTACATGCAGAGTGAGGGCAGAATAATGTGTCATCTACAGCGTCAGTGAATTCTGGTGGCCAACAAAAAAAAAAAAAATTGGCTGATTTAAAGCTATTTAGTCATTCTTGCTGCGTCAATATGAAGTGTGTTTGCAGAGGCCTTTGAGCCCCAAGCACGGAACATGAAAGAGATATAAACCACACATCCTTTCTGATTATTTGCTTGTTCTGGAGCTTTCAGCTGCATCTTAAGATCACCGGATGAAGACCACAGTGAGATGAGAAGAGTTTGCTCAGAAATCTTCATTACAATTGATCCATTCAGTGATGTTGAAAAAAAAAAAAAAAAAATCACACATTCAAACGCCACCTGCTGATGAAGACTATGAGATTAAGCTGAAAGCCCTGGAAAATGGTAGTAAATATTTATAACTTCAGTCAAGATTATTTTGTTCTACTACTATTTGCAAGAATAACAATTAACTGCCATACTAAATGTCAAGTGCAACAAGGACAAAATGCACTGATACAAATAATCAAATGTCTAATTACAACTGAAAGTATGAACAGACAGAGTTCACATGAAACCAAAGCAGCACTTTATTCACTCTTCCTTGTACTAAATGAACCTGACTTGACCACATTCTTCTTTCAAAGAGAAAGCACTCAATGGCACAGATGTACTAATAATACATACTAGATAAAACCAAACAATCCGTGGTATGTGAAACTAATTACATCAATAAAACAATGCACCATGGTTACCAGTCAGCTCAGGACAATTAAAGTTATCTCGACAACATTCAACAACAAACGTGGGCGCCAAACTCTGTGTATAGTCCAACAGAGTAAAATTACAGTATGGACAATCAGGATGACAAAATCATAGAGAGACTGTAAGCATATATGAAGAACAGAGAGCACGTCAAACTCAGCTGTCAGCTTGCAGCTAGACAACCAGCCAGAACAAGACTGTGGACCACAGGCAGGAACGGGATGGGGAAGTACCACAAGCAACCAAACCAAACACCAGAAACGTTCTGCTGTGGTTGATGAGTTGGTCTATTGTGGCAGCACTGTGACAGATAACCAACCAACAGAGGATGATACATGATGATACACACGGTGAGACGACAGAGATGTCAACCAGGTACATATTATAGCAGAGGGGTGTATTTCCATTTTGAGTAGGTTATTAGGTCTTATTTCACCATTAAAAATTCATTCTACACGTTATTGTAGTGTTTTGCTGTTTACTACTTGAATGTGCTCACCTTGCTTTTCCCTTCAGTTCTTTTTTCGCCACACTCGTACACACACACACCTACACTTCTGGTCTCTTACTGCAAACACACCGGCTTGTCCCTCCTCTTCCTGTTTCTCTCTCCCTGTATGTGTCTGCCCTGCTGACTTTCTCCAACAGCACTATGTATTATAAAGTTGCTGAAAAGACACAGAGGCTTGTTAATGACCTGGCCGAATGAATGACATCAGCACTGGAGCGTTCACTGTTGTTTTAGCTGGCCCGTGCTTGTAAAATATCCACCGTGTCCGCATCTTGTAAAGTAATACCAGACAACATCTCTCTCTGTGTTTCTCTGCAAAACTCTAAAATGTGTAGCCAAACATACTTTGGTGGCTGTTAACATACCTTATATGTGGGAAACACTGCTTGAACACAGAAATTTTATTTGAAAAGCCTGATGACAGCACACCAAGAAACAAACTGCCAGTAGTGATGTCATGAATGCCTAAAAACCAGTTCATCTGTGAACTCCACCCAGATGTAGGAGATAGAAATGAACGCATCTTTACTAAATGTCCGGTGGTGCAGGAGGTAGAAAGCTACACTTGAGCTAGACCAAATTGAGACATATTTTCCTTTCTCTTCTTTTTTTGATTATGTATGCTCTATCTTAGCAAAGACCTGCTTGAGTTCTCCATACCTTGCATAACAGTTGATGATGATGATAAGAGAAAAAGATAGTGTCACTGCTGTCGTAACTCTTTCGTCTATTTTCAGGCTGAACAATTTCACATCTCTGTTCAAGGCTTTTGATGGTGATTCTTTTTTTATGCGGGTACCAATATCAAAGCCTGAATCTGGAAGATCAAATTTGCTGAGGCACAGGAAGGAAGACAAACAGAAGGAATGCACTGATAAAGGCAGACGAGGACTGGGCAGCATTCAGAAAGCCTGGAGTGGACACTGGTTTAGTGAAACTGTTTAGTACAAGCAGTATCATAATCAAGAAAATCCATGCAGTATCTGTCAATGCTCAAGTGATGGATGGCCAAAGTTACTGTACACATTTCTGTAAGTTATTAGATTAAACTATGTAAAAATCTTCATTGAATAACCTTTTTAAACTAGTGTTGTGCATTCCACTGCATATTTTTGTTCAGGCTTTTCTCTCATGTTTGCAAAGCCTTTTAAAATTTCAGAGATGGCGCTTGGTCGCCCTCCTTTAATCAGTACTCTGGAGTTTTGCCAAAGTATCTAAGTAGGTATTATATAGAGCTTATTATTAATCTGTTTTCATTGGAAAAAAAAACTTTATAAAAGGGATTGAATTCCAGGTGAAAATTGGATTATCAAAAGAATCTTTGCAGTGCAAATATTCAGTAGTTTAGATACTACAACTGATATCGGTGTAGAGGGAAATTCCTTGTTGTAGAGGAGATACTCTGCATAGTCACAGTCATAGGAGGAGGTCAAAGGTCGAGGTACTCACTGGCTTCTTGAGGAAAAAGATGGACAGGGCTCCGATCAGCGGCATGTCCCCCAGCAGAGGCTCCATCACCACTCTCATCGTCCCATGAAGCTGGACAGAGGATAAGAAACATGAATCAGTCAGTTACCTCTCTGTGATGTGTCTGCTGGACATATGTCATTGCACGTCATTAAAACCTGTTTATGTTCATTGTCGATTTCATTCATGTTTTGATATATTCGGTTGGTTATTGGTTTGGTTTCACATTAAAGAACTTTACATTACAGATTTGCGTCCTGTCGTCATCATCTGTGTACACTGATTGGACTGTTAACAGACGTGCGTCCGACATCAGCGTGTTGTAAGTTCAGCGGGTAGCTTTGATAAGAATGAATGAATGAGGAATGAACAGATGCATATTGTTACCACTATATTATATAATTATGCATTACTCTACTACCTGCAGCACCAACTATACTCGAGGCTAGTTCAAATTCGCTAAATGAACGTTGTGTGAACATTAAATTGTTGCCTGTAGTAAAGGGGAGAAGACTACGATCAATCCTTCTGCACCTCCGTTTGGGGAGGGATCAAAGAGGTGGGTGGACATTTGCTTCCATAGTGGCTGTCATGTCTAAATATGTGCTGTCACGAGAGATTTATAACTGTGTCCTTATTTCAGTGCACCTCTCCGTGAATGTTTGTTTCTGGTTTACAATATGGAATAAAATAAACAAACAACTAGTGCCGCAGTGTTAGGTTGCTATTGTGCACATACTGGTGTCACTTGTATTTCCGTTGATGCTCCATCCTCGTCTTTCTTGTTTTGTAACTTTACCCTCATTTTATAATGCAATTTGGAACACTTTTCAAATAAACAAGGCTAACTTCCTTTGACATTTGCCTGGTCCCACTGATGTCAGACTGTGAAATGCTGGCATTACAAAACCTTTGTGCTGATAAGAGTCATGAGGAGAGAAAAGCTGGGCTTAAACCATCTGAGAATGAAAAAGTGATGATGAAAGGAGAGGCAAAGAACGATGCAGGTCAAAGCTTTTTCATGTTAAACTGAAGTTGCAGATGTGGCTGATCATTTTTAAGCATCAACTGAATGTTTCCCCTCAGAGCTTTTCATTATTAGGGACGCTGCTTTCTCAGAGGCTGCAGTGACTCAAACCTCAGATATGCAGACTGCCTGTTTGCCACACCAAATTTGGTCGTAGCTCTCTGTGAGTAATCAAATACCAACATTTTGCTCATTAAACTGGGCGCAGTGGAAAGATTCAAGATAGCTTTTTGTTTATCCCGCCGCCCTGCTGTAGACCACTTCTGCCTGAAAGAGGACGTATTATAAATCATGTGCAGCAGATGATCCTGTGTCAGGATCCATCTAACCAGAAGCTCTCCTTTCAGTAACTGATGTAGTCTGACGGTTGAAGAGAAGAAAATTCCGAGCCCATTAAAGCTGACACGCAGCCCGGCACTGCAGATATAAAACTGAAGCCATACACAAAGACAAATATTCACTTTGCCTGGCAAACTCTGCCGTTCCTCTCTGTAAATCTTTTCAACTCTTCTCTCCGAACAGCAAATATGGCCTGATCATCTGCAAACAGTCGAGCGGATAACGTCTTTATCAGTCCTGTGTCAGCACATTATGTAAAACCTTATGTCTCTGGAGAGGTCACGGGTTACACACAGGTCATGGTCAAAGTATGGAGGCTCCCACCAATAAAGGCCCACATCCGTCTGAAAGTCCTGCTTCTGTTTTATCCTCTATAGTCTAATAAAATGAATATGGTTGTCTTTCTTTCCATTGATGTTATTAATGTATATTCTACTGCTGAAGCACTATGTCAGTTAATCTACAGTATTAGCCAATTTCCAGAAAACTGTTATATCGTTTCAGTCATGTCACAAGGACATTTTCCACAAATTCACTGGTTTCAGCATCTAAAATCAGAAACATTTGCTGCTCATCTGTTTTATATCGCTGTTAACTGAATATCCTTGAGTTTTAGAGCTTAAGAGTTTTAATTGATCAGACAAATAATTTGAAGACAACCTCTTTGACTCTCGGAACTTGTGACGGACATCTTTCACAATTTTTGGACATTTTATAGACTTAACAGTAAATTAAGTGACTAATGACATGTTATTGATAATGAACATAATCATTATAGCTTTCTAATATCATAAATTCACTTACAGTGTAATTACCTTTTCAGTTCTGTTAGGGTTGCTTATTTTCAAAAATGTGGTATGCACTTTTAAAAGATGGGAGGGTAGAGTTCAAAGTACAAATCAAACTCTTATTGTCATTATTAACAAATTCTGAGAGCCCAATTTTTGCCTTGTTGACCAACAGTACAAAACCCAAAGGATATAAAACAGAGAAAACAGCTAATTCTCACCTTTGAGAACCTCAAAGAGAGAACCTTTTTTGCTTTTTTAATTATTAATCACTTGTCGGGATTTGTTGCCCATTAACTTCTGTTGGTAAATCTAGAACACAACAGGAAAGAGACATGGCCTTCCACCTAGAGAGCTTGTCTTTGCTCTATGTGACCCTGGCTAGCAAAGCTGCATCATGACATGGCAGAAAAATGACAAATGGCATGTAACATTGTACTTCCACACCGCAGTCATACCTGTATACTTTTGATTCCAGCTCTGCAATAGTATTTCTTGATGTCCACATCGATCTCTGTATTTCCGACAAAGCTGAAAGAAAGTAAACAAGACAAAGACGCGGGGATTAATGTTAAAATGTGAAAGTGAGGGAGGAAGGCGAGAATACATAGGTTTACTGTTGATTCATGTTTTTGTGTTTTGCCTTTGTTCTAATTTAGAGCAAGCAACAGCAGAAACTATTTTATTCTTCAAGGAAAAGGCTGCTGTGATTCTATAATTTTGTTATTGTCAATAAATCCCATGAAAAGACTAAGACAAACAACGTGTTAGTCCTTTCTGACTTCCTGTCTGTGTCTTTTAGCTCCAAGCCCATTGGTGTATACTGAACCTGTAAATATTTTTTTATAAAAGCTCACTGAAGAAATAGTTTTGGGTTTTTTTAGCCTCAGAAATGTCCTAAAACTACGCTACTTGATGCTTTCTTGATGCTTGTATGTTGTTCATTCATCTGCCAAATGAGTAAATGTAAATGTAATGTACTTATCGTTACTCATACAGGAGTAAACAATGCAGCATCAAGTCATTGTTGGTTTTGGACTTTTAATGGGATTTGTTGACAGTAAGAAAAATATGGAATATCACCAGCCTTATCCTTCAGAAATTACAAGCGACCACGCGTAAAGCCAAGAGTTTGTAAATGTGAGAGGTTCACTGTGTACCTGATCTGCAGGTCCATGATGATCTGCCTCTTGTCCACGTTCTCTGTGTAAACCTTCACCCCGTTCACTCTGAGCGGCTGCAGAAATACAGTCAGACAAAACAGGTACAACATGTGAGCAAATCTGATCAGACTCTGGTTCTGCTGTCTATTACTTACATCAACAGTAAAATCAGAAGAGACAAACAAAAGACAGCTCTGTACTAACAGCGGAGGAATAGTTGTCAACAGCTCCGATTAAAAACCCTGATTCACTTTGCTGCTTTTGTTCAGCATATACAAAATCAGTTCACGCGAGTCATGGAAGTTCAACAGTAGCAAAGCAGACAAGAATAGAAACACACCAATAAAAGATCTAAATACCTACACTTTGACTGAAGCTATAAGCAGCAATATTAACCATTAATACCAGTGATGTTGCATGTTTTATTCCATTTAATACTTTACATTCCTACTTAGGGCTGTCGCGATAACCACAAAATTGAAATACCGCAGAGGACGGCAATCACCGCAACAACTGCAATGTCCGTACTGTACACCTCAGGGCGTGTTAAATTAATAAATGAGTAACAAGCTCTGTAACGGTTCAAGGATGGATCGCCATGGGCTGTACGTGACCCGACTTCAAACTTGGAAGCTGTAAGTGTTGGCGTGTTTTGTGTTGCTTAACTGGTTATTTTAAATGTTAGCTAACTTGGAGTTGGCATATTGTGCGGCTAATGTGGCTAGCAGGCTTGGCGATGTTGGACTAACGTTGTGATCCTGAGGGACAGTCCAGGGAAACTGTGGACAGTAGGCCTCATTTGAATCTCACTAACTAAGAAGCGTAGTGTGTCGGACGCCTGCAGCTGTTTTTTATGTTGCTTTCTGTGGAAATTCTTTTATAATGTTACCATAGCGCAGTTAGTTGCGGACAGCCATTTGGCTCCGCACCATGGCGCGCGTATGCGTTGCTGTGTATGTAAATTGACTTGATAGACGTGCCCTGAAGGTAATGATATATACGTCTGAAAAAGACACGGTCAAACTACAAAAGGAGTTTGCTTGGGAATGTTGTTGACTAGCACGCAGCAGCTAGCTTGCTCAGGCCATAAAGCTGCTGTTTGCTGTACAGTGAGGTGAGAGAGACAGACACTCTTACTCTGCTATATGACACCAAATTACTTCATTGATGAAAGATGCGATATTCATTCATATTCCCGCGGTGGAAATTCCTTCACTGAGACAGCCCTATTTGCACTGTTGCTTCTGTGCAGTTGTCACAGCATCTTCTTTTCTTGTGTTACTTTGTTTCCGAGCTTCTGCTTTACGTGTGAAGAATTCAGTTCAAACTACTAAAAAAAATTTACTGTATTAATACTATCATGATAGTCTTGGTGTGGTTATCTCGTCACCTTGTCGCCCATGTCGATCTTGGTGAAGCATAAGGAGCTGAGATGAGGGTTGGCGCCCTTCACCGCCGGCTCGATGGTCTCTCTGAACAGCTTGTCCACAAACTGGCAGATGAACGGCCACATCTGCTTCACCGTCTGAGGGAGGAGAAAGAGGCGGAAAGAATTAGACAAATGTATCACGTCCAAATCCCACATGATCTCTGCCAGAACAGAGCTAGGACCTGTTTCAGATCAAGGGCAGAATTCTTGGTAACACTGTTAGCTGTTAAAATACAGTTTTTACTGCATGCATGGTGGATGTTTAATACACTCCATCTGAAGGGGGAATTCCTTTTTCTTCTTTTCATTTGTGGGAAGAGACAGGCAATGACCATTGTTTGGAGACATTAGAGATTTATTTGCACAGACACAACAAATGCAAGTAGACAGATTCCTGCAATATTAACCACTGTAAAGATACAGTAGAACGGTTCAGAATGCATGAAGGATGACTTTCAACTTACATAAATGACCACTACTATGTGCAAAATGGGTTAGAAGGGAACACTGACTATCTTCATAATCTTTAATGGCTGAAACCCTTAAAATAAAAATATAGAAATATTTTTGTAACTGATGATGACTGGTGATTTTTATTTTTCAATATATTATTTAATCTATCTATTATCACACGTTAACAGCCCACAAAATTATGTCTTGACACTGTATTTATTAACACTACAGTTAGACCTTGGTCCAAAGTAAGATCATTTCTTTCCCTTATATACACAGCAGTAGCATTTGGGGTTGAAGGTCAGGTTGACAGGAGGAGCCAGGGATCGAACCTCCCTACCATTACTGGCTGTCCCGCTCTTCCAGCTCACCTGCAGCTGCACTGCTTACTTTATCTGAACTAAAATTTACAATAATTGTAAAAAGTGAAAAGCAAGTAAAGTTGTGCCTATACAAAGCTGTAACCAGCAATCATAAATCGTAAACACCCTGTCACTGCCCAATGATCAAAACTGTCACTAATCAATATTCTGTCAAATGTCTCTATCTTTAATACGCATACACATTAGGGCTAGGGATGTCCAAAAGAACTAGGGATTCATCAGCACTGGGGTTATATTGACCTTATTAAACAGACTGGCTATTGGGGCTGTCACTTCAAAATTTAAAGCAAACTGTAAATTTTGATCGAACACAGGGTCTGTATCAGCAATATATTAGTAAAATACAAAAACCTGCAGCAAAACTACAGTATGCTTTTCCCCATGCTGCAGCTGAAATAATGGCAATAATTAATGTATCTGTTAATGTGCCACAGCCACATGCTGGCACTTGTAAGGGTGTTGAGTTCAGAGCGTTTCTCTCCTCAGTCTATCCTCCCAGAAACACCTTTGAAGAATCTTTACAGGCTGAGGAAGGAGACGGCATGAATGTGTGTGAGTAAACAGACGGGAATGCTCTTCGTGCTGATCGTCACTTGAGATGCTCTCTATGAGGCGTGGTCACTCAACTGTTATACATATATTAAGATATTAATGATACTGACATTGATTTACACTGATTTTCAACCGGACATAATGTTCTCAATGCCAAATATTAACCTAATTATCCATTAACTTCTTACTGGAAGTCCACCTGAACATGTACAGTAAGTGATGCTCTCTCAAGCAAGTCCTACACCTCCTTTCTCTCTGTGTCGATTGTGTTTTTTTATTTCCCGTCTTCAGTTTTCCTCTCTCTGTCACTGGGTAAGGGTCTAGCAGAGCTCCAGATTCATATTATATTATATACCCTACCTGTCTGCCTCTGCAAGCTAACTAGCAGGCTAACAGCATCTGATGTAGAACAAACCAGTGACAAGAGAAGACAAAGACAGAGACAGAGTTAGAGAGCTTATACATGTACCTTATTCAGCCACTCCACTCTCTCCACATCTGGATAATGGACCTGGAAAAAGAGATAGAAAGACAAGAGTTAGAGTTATGATTTTAATTCATCCAGTATACTTGTCATGTAAAATTCTGTCTTTTTTAAGACATGTCCAGTCAACCAACTTGGTAAATAATTGCTGTATCCTTGTTGAGTGTCCAAAACTGAACAACTTCTGCAGAAATGTCAAACTTTGCATGTGCTTCTTAAAAGCCAAACTGCTTCAAAATTCCCATGTTCAGCTGTCACTGAGGGAGATTTACAATGAAGGCAAAAACAAAAGTACAGACTATAGGTCAGTAAAGGAGGTCAGAATCATATTTGCAAGACAAAATATGTTCAGAAATATTATATTTCTCAGTCCCTGGAATCATTATGTAGCAGGACATGCAGCTGAAGCCACGGGTTATCCTGCCCGCTGTGCTTGCCTGTATGTGTAGCTCAGCCCCTCCCTCTGTGAGACAGATATGATGACAGACCGCAGAGAAGAGGGACGGAGATAGCGTCATTCAAGGAGGTCATACCAGTTGCCAGTTTATTAGGTACACCTAGCTAAAACTAATGCACTAAAATGGATGTTAAACAAACACGCTGTTGACCTTGAATGTCAACCTCATACTGGCACGAGAGGAAAGGTTAGGGGATCATCAAACTTATTAGGCTACATCACCTGGGAACCATGACTGTCTGAAACAACTGTAGGATTTACTTTTATCCAGCTAAGTGCAGGTCTCACTATCAGGTGTCTGTCAAATGATGGATCTCTCACCGCAGGGCTGCTGACTGTATCAGAGTGCTGACTACCTGAGGAGACGGAGTCTACGAAGCCACTGTGGGATGCAGTCTGACAGAGTATCATTGCAGCAGCATCAAAGCTGTTGCAGAGGACTGGAGGTTGCCTGTGACAGACCTGTTACATAACTCACATAATGCGAGGATTCTGCTAGACACTCAGGCCTGGGGCAGATCCACGTCAACCCTCAATTAGTTCCATAAACACAAAGCATTAGAATACAGACTACGTTGAGTGGACCAGGAAAGCTTTAGTCTCTAAACACATTAATAAATAAATAATTTGTGTTTGCCTGCTTCCTCATTTCTCTGTTTCACATTCACTGGAAAATAAAGTTCATAGCAGATCCATGATGTATTATCAGAAACTACACACACTACACAAATAAATTGTAATTGCTACATTATCACTTTGTAATGGTGTATTCAATTTATCAAAATTACTCACACAAAGTGTGTTTTATAAAAATCTTTTATATTGTTTTTTTATTCTCCACTTTCAAGCACAGTTTTAAAAGTACACTTGTACTGAATCAGTTAAGTTAAATAAATACGGTATTTTGAAATAAACGTTTTATATTATTGTCATTAAAGTCACAATTCAGGACCATAATCTAAAACCAGGGAGCTTTAAATAGGGATGCACCGAATGTTCGGCCACCTAAATGAAGCGGCTAAAAATAGCAAAAAAAGCTCAAAAGACCGATTAAGTTTTACCAAAGAATTGGGTTGACATGTGAGCAGTGTGGAAGCATTTTAAAGTGTCTGAGAAAGATGCAAAATGTCTCCAAGCACATCCACTCCATCTGAGGCTGACTTCTTAGAAAAGGCAACAAATGGTCTGGACCGCTTTGAGTGTTTATGACTTGTTTGTGAGAAGGCGATTAAGCTAGCCACACCTACATTTGGAGTACACACATTTTCAAGCCTTTGTGGTAATTCCATTGAAACCGCTCAGAGCGAGCTGACAGGCAGGTTAGCGACTTCATCCTGTCAGTTTCTCTCTTTACAAAGACAAGTGTTAGTCAGTATGAGAGTCCTGCCTGAAGAGAGGCTGTGAAGTCTTCTTGTTATGCCATACGAGAACCACATTCAACATTATTTATCAAATTGGGTCGGACTTGATGAATTTAGGTTTTCAAAATAAGGCGTGTATATAGGATGGAAATAAGATTAATTAGATTATAATCACAGAAAGTATAAAAAATGGACACACCCCTCTTGGGAATTTTTAATTTATGCAACCCAAAAAAAACCAAAAAGGCAAAATAAATGGAAAAAAATGTGAATGTACCTGTTTGGTGTTCAGCAAATTTTTTATTATATTCAGTTTTGGGTACGGCCAAGAATTTTCATTTCGGTGCATCCTTAGATTTAAATACCATTTTGAGAGTATGTGTATTTCATAATGTTGCATAATGTTAGTGTAATGTACTTTAAGAGTTTTTAAATTATAATTTGCGTCCCAGCATTCTCAACACACCACTATAGTTCTACTTCTTCAAAAAGAAAATAATTACATGAAACACCTAGGGTTGCACAGGTATTTTCATGAAGATTCACTGGAGATTTTCACAAGAGCATAACCCTCTCACAAAACATCACAGTTTCACAGCACTAGACCTTTTTTTATTATCATGATCATTTACAGTGACCCTTAAAGGAATGAAAACAGAAGGGTTTTTTGGTTATGTCCTGGCAGACATGGTAACTTGAACTTGATGTATTGCTGCAACCCTTTTCACACCACTACCCTTTTATTCTGCTAACGACATAGTGTAGCTCTAAACACAAGGACAGTGTTTCTTTTACTCCAGGGAGAAACACACAAGGAGTACAGACTCACAACAGCCTGCTGCATGTATCTTGAATGCAAGGTCACTCTGTCTCACACACACATAGCGCCTGTGGCCCCGTGTGAGACATGACGCCAGCTTCAGTCCATGTGCACACAATTGCCATCTTACACACAAACAAACTCACGCAGATGCATGTCACCGTCTGATGATCCATTTATCTGTACGTATCACATGATACAAGTGAGTTTGTTGACTTCAGTGTGTTGAGCTATTGCTGTGAATTTTTCCTCTTGTTCTGTACTCTACTTCCTATTGCATATTTCTTTTTTCCCTGTTTTCACCATGGACTCATGACCTAAACTACATTCAACTACAGAAAAGTGTCGCTGCCAAAAAAATAACAATAATCTGCTCTGTTTCTGCTTACAACGCCCCACCCTTTTTGGTGGCAACACCACTGTAAAACTGACCCAAACTTAACACAGATAAACACCTTTAAAACAACCAATTCAAGGGAATTTCTTAACATAAGATGATAAATTAAGAACACCAAAAACACAAGAACATAACACAAAAATGCCCCAGCAGAGAGGCAGCAAGATCAACAGTCCCAAATCTAGAAGCCTCTACTTCTGACTCTTGCACAGGAGCGTTTTTTAGCCCGCCTTCCAAGGCCAGGTGGACCTTGTTCAGTAATTAGCTGGAGCACTCCCAGCGCAGAACTGGAGGACAGAAAAGAACATGGACACAGCAAAGGGAAAATTTTCAGATAACTCTAATGACACAATGCTGAACAAGCAAGATGCGTTGTATTGAATTAAGTGATATGCTGTTACAAAAAGTTTCTTGGTAAAATGGAATTGTGTGGTATAACAACAACAAAAACTGTAAATAAAAAATAAATCAGTGAAAAGAGACACTTTATTTTAACTTGTAGTTATAGCTTAGATCGTTTTTGGACCTGTGTAACCTAGATGAGATGTTATATTATTATAAGTAGAGCTCGATCAGCCAGGCTGGTATTCCTGCCGACATTAGCTTATTGCAGATACATCAAAAAGAAAATGCAGTACAGAAATGCCAAAGACATGTCTGAGGTAATTCAGAAACACTGTCAGGATTAATGTGATTGTCCTCCTGAGAAACTGACAAGTTTATTTGTTAACTGTAAAATAAAATGAGCTGCTCAGTTCATATCTTAGGGATTCTTACTAAAAATGATCAATGAAGATGTATGTTTAAGTAAAAAAATGGCCAATATATATGTTTTTAATATAATTGTTTTTAAACTCAAAATCAAATATTGGCAAAATTGTATTTGCTTCCAAGAACAATGCTAACAGGCTCATATTACTGAAATATAGGAAGTCAATTTTACCAGCTGCCGGACCAAGAAATCAGGAAACACTACACATCCCTGTCTCGTGCTGTCATGGGAACCCATATGTGATGCACCATGAATAGCAACAAAGGAAAGGGATGAAGTAACATCAGTTTTCACTATATCCAAGTCAAGTGGACAGAGAAGCCAAAGTCAGTGGAATGCAGCCAAACATGTAAATGGGAAACAAATCGGCAGTCTATGTTTACACTATGAACTCTGCGAGTTTCTTCAAGGTTAACTACTTAAGGTGGAGCTGTGCCAGATGTGGCTGCGATGTGTCCTTGTTCTGTCCTTTGTAAGGTACCTACACTAATAACAGCAGTCAGCTACACTGGCTGCTTCTGTTGCAACTTGGAGGATCTGAAAACAAAGCAATGGAGTTGGAAGCATGAAGTAAAAGGAGGAAAGAATGACTCATCTGCGCAGTGAAACAGACAGTGGCAATGTTCTCCCCTTTTAGGATAAAACTCAAAATACATGTGCAGAAGAGGAAACAAAGTTGATACAGAAATAAAAGAGAAACTGAACCCAAAGAGTAAGAAAGGCACCTAGATAAATGGGAGATAAACAAAACAGTGGTTAAAAAAGAAATGTATTTATTTTGTACACATTATTCCATGGTGTAAAATGCTCTATAGCCTACAGTGACAAAGCAAGGAAATCTGATTCATTTCCTCAAAAAAACTGGGAACATTTCTCTGTCCCTGTAGTGGGAGGGTAACATGCAAATACATTTATTTACTACACGCAATGTGATCTACCAACCCTAAACTCAATTTCATGTGAGTGCAACAGCATCTGTATTTAATACATTTGAAAGGAAGGTGCAAACCGCCAAGTGTTACGCAGACATGGCTGCCGTTATCGTTGCTAGAAGGAGAGACATAATGAAAGAGAACATAGAAAAATTAACAATATTACATAATATTATTCTATATCTAATATATAGAAATAAAATACATTTATTTATTCAATATACTATATGAATTGAATAGTTTATTTGTATTTTCCTTTTGCTTTGTTCTATTAACATTCATGCCAATAAAGCAAATTTCGTTTCGACCTGACTTCTTTTCTCCGTGAGATGGAAGAGTTTAGTTTACTGCTGCAGTAGAGCCCCCCGCTGCAGTAGTGCACGGATCACGTGCAAAATTCATCCAGCCAGAATGAACGATCACCAACTGTTCACAGCGCAGCGGTCGTAATAACGACACAACCCATTACAGGTATCGAAGAGGGAATGGGGCGTTGGGGCGTACAGGGACAGGAGATCGCGGAGCGACCGGGCACGGTGTGGACGGTCGGTGATACTGTATCTGTTTCTCCTGGGGTTTCCCAAAGCAGTTTTTTCAGGTGTGCTGTACTTAGTACAATCTCAGGCAGGATGGGCAGGAACGTACGATTTCCACATACTCAGGACGCACTGAATGAAACAAACCGAGGTTTTTACACAGCGGCTGCTTTCCCTCCCGACTCTCCTGGCAGAAGCCATTAAAACTCACAAAACCCTCATTTAAATACTGCCACCTCCGTTTGTTTGCTCCTGTTGTAATCTACACAATAATTCTTAGTTAATCATCCATAACAGGTCCTCCAATTACACGTGCAATATTTTTGCACACAAAATTTAGTACTCTTTATTTGGGGTGTTAGTAAACCCAGCCCCTAGTATCTTGATGTAAAACTGACTTATCCTGATAGACATCATCACCCAATGTCTGTTACAAATAACTTCAATCATAAAAAAGAGCTGAGACAAATGACAAATAAACAGACTTCAAGCAGAAGAACATTTTGGCTGCTACTTACTAGCAAGCACTGGGGGCAGGTAGCATGGACCAGAAAGAGAAAATAAACCAATATAATGGATTTGACAAGATGTCAAAGGATCACTTTAGAGTCTAAAACCTAGAGATATTTAGCTCACAACTATATATAACAAAAAATGTTTGCATTTTTGCTTCAAAAACCTCATAAACAATGAATCGATAAAGATGATCCATCATTCATTTTCTGACCATTATCAACTTTATCTTGCTCTAAATAAGTTTTTTAATGTTTGTAGTATTGAGGAAAGTGTTCATATTTTGGAGAAGTGAGTGGAAGGCCATTTTCTGACCAAGAATGGCACAGTGTCAAAAAATGCAGCCTTTTTTCAATAAGAGCAGAGACAAAAAAAAAACATAAGAAAGTAAAAAAAAAAATCAGGGTCATCCGGCAGTAC